CTTTCTGCTGGTTCTGATGGACAAAAACAAAAAGTGCAAGATATCCATGCTCAGAAACTAAAATCCCTTGAAGCACAGGTGACAAAAACTTTTAGCTGAAATTGCATTGATCATTGGATTGAAGAAAAGGGGCTGATGATGATTTCATTTAAATTGTAAAAACTTATTTGCTCCAGATTCTGGATCTTAAGAAAAAACAAGAGAACCAGGTTCAACTTTTAAAGCAGAAACAGAAGAGCGATGAAGCAGCAAAACGACTGCAAGAAGAAATTCAATTCATAAAGGCACAAAAGGTTAAATCTTATTTTGGTCCTTATATCTTTTATTGTTTTTGGTATATCATTTATTATAGCGTATGCTTTGCTAAACCATCCCACCACAATTCCCCCCTGCCCCTTTTTCTTTTCTTCCCTTGCCTATTCTGTTTTTGTAGGTTCAGTTGCAACATAGGATAAAACAAGAGGCAGAACAATTCCGTCAGTGGAAAGCCTCTCGAGAAAAGGAACTGTTGCAGGTGTCTTGCTTCTTTACTTTCTATCAACTTAAGCAATTTATAATAATGTGTCAGAGAACATGAGAACAAAGATAGTCACTTACTGCAGGAATTATATCTTGGATTTATTACTTGTATTTGCAATTTTGTTTGTATTATATACTTAACTGGGTTAATAATATGTATGCAAAATCAGTTAAGGAAAGAGGGCAGGAGAAATGAGTATGAAAGGCATAAGCTGCAAGCTTTAAATCAACGCCAGAAAATGGTAAGCATATTTTTATTTCTTGTGTAGGAGATGAGTACCTACCACTGATTTGTTTGTAGAGTAATAATTTGCAGCTATTCTTGCTTTCAGGTTCTCCAAAGAAAAACAGAGGAGGCGGCCATGGCCACCAAGAGGCTAAAAGAGTTGCTCGAAGCTCGTAAATCTTCAGCCCGTGATAACTCAGGTACGCTTTTTCTTTTTAAGGTTGCTGTGCTGGACAATCCATGTCTTGGATAAAATAATGCTCTTCATAGAAGCACGTACAATTCAACTGTATAAAATAGAAATTCTAGTTTCTTATTGAGGGAAACTTAAGGTATTCATATTCATGCCCTGGGTCCTTTTCTTTGTCCAAATTTCTAATGTTTTGGTATCATCCAGCCATTGTCAACGGGAATGGAACAAATGGGCAGGTAATGATCTCTGTTTCTCTTCTGTTTTTTTTTTTTTTTTTTTTGGGGGGTAGTTTCAATATCCACGCTTTTAAAACCAATTAACTTAAGTTCCTTCTGTAGACCAATGAGAAAGCATTACAACGTTGGCTAGATCATGAGTTAGAGGTCATGGTGAATGTGCATGAAGTTCGTTTTGAATATGAGAAGCAAAGCCAAGTGTATGTAACAAATCTTATTTGTATAATAAAACCGATGTGGGACATACAAACTATTCTTGTATTACTTTCAATTATTATGCACAATCTACAGGAGAGCTGCACTGGCAGAAGAGTTGGCTGTCTTGAAGCAAATAGATGAGTTTGCTTCAAAGGGGCTGAGCCCTCCAAGAGGGAAAAATGGATTTGCCAGGTATCAGTTGTCCAAAAGCATTTTATTTATTACTGGCAATTTACTCCTCTTACCTTGCCATTGTATGGGTTCTATGATCTGGTATCAGTAAAAAAGATTGCATAAAGAAAGTTTAGCATATAGCCAATATTTGTATACAACATGTTTATAGTCTTCTCTTGTCCTACACTCGTGAGTCATCCATGATTTGATCCAGCATGAGTTTGAGGAGATCAGTTAAATGCGGCTGTAGATATGACACTTTTCCTCTGTAGAAGTGCTTCAACCTCTCCTAACATTCCTTGATGTATTTTCCCGCTCTACAGGGCATCCTCCATGTCACCAAATGCAAGAGTGGCTAGAATATCTTCACTTGAGAATATGCTCAGCATTTCATCTAATTCACTTGTAGCAATGGCTTCACAACTTTCGGAGGCAGAAGAGCGGGAGCGTGCCTTCACTAACCGTGGACGTTGGAATCAGTTGCGCTCCATGGGAGATGCAAAGAACTTGCTTCAATATATGTTCAATTCTCTTGGAGATACAAGGTGCTTTCTCTCACCTTTTGATATATGTACATAAACATGAAAGTATATCAAATATAATAGCCTAGTCCTGGAGTTTGACAAGAAAAAAAAAAGAAAGACAAATAAATTATGGTTCAAGCGTCTCTAAGTGGTGCTTATATGTTATCAACAGGTGCCAATTATGGGAAAAAGACATGGAAATCAAGGAAATGAAAGAACAACTTAAAGAACTTGTAGGTCTGTTGCGGCAGAGCGAGCTACAAAGAAAAGAAGTAGAGAATGAGCTAAAATTAAGAGAGCAAGCTGTTGCCATTGCATTGGCTACATCAGCTACGGTTAGTTTTATTTAACTTTATTCAGGTTTTAAACATCTGAGGCTTTGTTTAGTTTTTCATCTAAGGCATATTATAACAGTCTAACCATGTTGAAGGGCATTCAACTAATCAACTAATGATTCTAAAGTTGTTTTCACATCAACACAGAGGTGAAGTTGAATTTTGGTACATATATAACATCCAAAAGAGGTTCAGGAAGATTGATTTGGTCAAATGACTTCTAGCTCTAAGAATGTGTTAGATCTCTACATATAAATCATACACTATCCATACATTCTTCCAATGTGGGATTGGGGGCGTTACATTGTTAGTTCAAAAGAATGATGCTGATAAGATACTTTGAATAAACTTCAAATTCTAAATTTTATGATAAAATATCCTTTTTTCTCAAAAAGGCAACCTGACCAAAACCACATTTGGTATAGACTACAGTACGTGAAACCCCTTTTTCCTTTCAACCAAAAGTCCCTTAGAACAGCAGCATAGAGAATCTCTTACTGTTTGCTTGAATGACAAACTTCCCTCTTCAAAGGTCCTCATTGTGGGATACTTTCCTTTGTTACAATCGAATTCACATTTCTCATCCCTCATAAAATCCGAAACCTCTGTTCTGCTGAATAGCAAGTGCTGCAACCTGTAATGCATCAAGGAATCTCTAGAAAAGAATTGCAACTAAAGTAGGATTTTCTTTTGTAGCAAGACAGATAATTTTAAGGTCATATGTACAGGATCATCTGTCATTGCCACTGTTGTCATAAGTTTTTTGGCCTTCTAACGAATTGTCTGATCAATATCATTGCTACTCCTAGCCTGCTTTTTGACAAGTGTCCATGGGCAGGGGAACTCACCAAATTCATTGAAACACATTGCTGATGACATGAACGGTTCATTATCTCCAATGTCTGTGCCAGCGCAGAAACAGCTGAAGTATAGCCCAGGTATTGTTAATGGTCCAGTCAGGGAGTCAGCAGCATTCATAGATCAAACACGAAAGGTAACTTCATTCTCCAACTTTAATCATAGTGTTGCAATCTGCTTTCATACTTGGCTAAGAAAATTTGGATTTGCTGCTTGTGCAGATGGTGCCTCTTGGGCAGTTACCAATGAAAAAGTTAATAGCTATAGGACAAGCTGGCAATGGAAAACTGTGGAGGTGGAAAAGAAGCCATCACCAATGGCTCGCACAATTCAAATGGAAATGGCAGAAGCCATGGAGACTTTCAGAATGGATTAGACACAGTGATGAAACACTAACAAAGGCAAGGCCTCGATCACAAGCTCTGCCAAATAGAGTCTGATATATGATGGTCACTAGATTATATTGGCCATATTAATCTTTGAGTATAGCTCCTAGGCCAAGGTGCAGGGTGGAGCCTTGAAAGAGTGCAGGTAATTTTTTCTACCGTAGTTTTTTCATGTTGACATTACCTCTGATCATGTGCTATTGAATGCCCTTACTACAATTTCTCTTAATTAGCATGATTCTCAGTAGTTGAGGACATTATTTGTTATTGGCTAAAAATGTGGCAGCATTTCTGATTTGCTAATCTCTTGACTTGGAAAAAAATGAGTTTTGACTATACTTCAAAGAACAATTACCAAAGAAAATTGATGAACTGCCAATTACATGAACTTAAAATTTACTGCTTGTCCACAGGGTAGCCAACTCTAACACAAAATGTCCTAGAGGGAGTAAATAGCTTATAAGAATCATGATCTGCTTGGTTGAACCATAATTTAATCTGATTTAATGGAATTGACTTAGCAAAACCCTGATTGCCATACATCAATGAACCTTATATTATCTTTTTCTCAGTTGATGCAGTGTGCTGGAACTGGCTGTTGAAACCTGCCTAAACCGTGTAGGTTTAGTTGATTTTGAAAATATCAATACTATAGGTTTGTGTAATCTTCAAATTTTTTTGCTGTGATTACTGCCTACGGAGCATCTTGTAAAGAAGTGTTGATGCTGCCAATGGTGTGCCAAATTCGTTGAAGACGTTAGCATGAGATGGTTTCGATGGTGATACTTTAGCAAAAGTATAACAGATCTCGCTGGAACTATCTCTAAGGTTTTGGTGTATTTTCCATCAATAAAAAGCTTTGAGGGAAGAAATTGTTCCCAAATCATAGAAATTTGTATGAAAGGTGCCGTCTAATTGTATTTTTCTTTTCTAGTTTTTCATTTTTTTACCCAACTTGTAATTTCTTGGTTCATATGTTTCAGCTTGTGTGTAAGCTCGTCATTAATTTTGTTGAAAGATTGAACTGTGTAGCATTTTCATTTGTTATACAAGGAAATTTCTTTAGCTCATCATGTCTCTTCCTGGATACCGGTTCGAGTTAAAAACAAGTTGATCTTATTTTGAGATACCAAAGACTGAAGCGTGAGGCATGTGGAGATTCCCCTCCAACACTCGAGAAAAGGAAAGCATTCGTTTATAATCCACATCAAAAGTTGAGATAAGGAACTGACAACGTGGAAACCTCAGCAAATCCATTATGAAGAAATTAGTAGGCATAGCAGATGAAATTGAAATAAATGTTAACAAAAACCACCACTGGGGAATAATGGAAAGAGTAAGAACTAAATTATTAATAGAAAAAGGCAACAATTTTCAAACTTCAGAACAGTAAGACATATGATACACTGATTTGGTACATCATTGTTCACTCAATCAAATTTTAACTTATTTTGTTCTGTTGAAAAAAAACATCATCACAGGAGGAGTACAGTATTCTAACTCATAGGAAAGGAACAGATTTGCTCACTTTTGATTGATGCATGACTATAAAACCCTATATATCGGGCAATGAAGAATTGGCTTGGTACTGATTGTCATTGGTACACCAACAGCAGTTGTCCCCATATCCAGAATGCAGACAGAGTGATAGGAGAAGTATGAGTCTCATTACATGCATTGGAAGAAGTATATAAAGTGAGCAAATATGGACTCCATGTACCAGCACATCACATATTGCCGCACCAGTATGCATAGTGCTCGTCTTTGCGATGATTACTAACAAGACCACCACAATGTAAACAGATAAAGCTGCTTCCATCAGAGAATGCATCCAATACAATTTGCATTCTGCCTGTTTCAGCAAGTATAGAAGTCCCATGAGCATCTGATGCAATGGACGGACAGTTAAGGTTGCATGGTAATGGTTCAGCTTTTAAAGGCTGGGCTTCAGCTATTGCACACTCGGCAAACAAAGAAGCCAGCTGATCAACTGCAGTGTTTTCTTGCATTCTAGTTCTGTAGACTTCACGAGCACGGTATAACGACTGAAATACAGCTTCATCACCACCTCTAGTTCTCATGGCCATCACAATCTGTTCCATCACAGATAAGCAGAGATTAAAAGGAGAAACAAGAAGGTCCAGGATACATGTCTAAATTAAGGAAAACTTTGATATCCTTCCTGTAACTGTTTCCACAGTTCAAAAGAGAATCAATTATACCTCAAACTAACGCATAAAAAAAGATATGTCTATGCTCAGACAGGAAGAACTGATTCATACCATAAAATGACTGAGGGACACTTAAGTGCAGGTAAAATCTTGAAAAAATATTAGCCCCAATAGAGGGTGTTTTCAATCAGATGTGGCTCTAGGTGAGGATTGATGCTGAAAAATCATTAGTCTAGTTGACCCAAGTTAAACTAGTAGCGTGTGTATTGAATGGTTCTATTGCTGGCTGCCTAACAAGGGCAAGGCTACTTTGGTCCTCCTTGTGTCAACAAACACCCAATGAACAAAGAAGCGATATTTTAGTTTGATCCACGATGGCCAACTCAGATGCCAGCTGTTTACCACCAATACTTGTACCATCAATACCATCTTCAGAAGCCTACAGTGAGAAGTGGCGGGAACAATATTTAATTACAATAGAAACTCGAGTTGATAAAATATAATAGCTATTAAAGCGAATACATCTGAAAAGAGACAATTCAAAATTGTAAAAAGAGAAGAGATCCAAATAGTTGTTAGTTTCAAAGAGTGAGTAATGAAAGTTTAAAGAATCACCAGTAACTGAACTAATCATATAGAAGCAACACAATAGTCAAGTCCACATAATTAAAAAAAGCAAGGTTGAAAGAACAAGATTTTCAACCCCGTTGTTCTAGAAGGAATTACAGAATGAATAAAAGCTTCTTAGATGAACAATCCCTCGTCCCTTTTTTTTTTCTCACCTGTGTTTCCATCTTTCCCACAGAGAAAGAGAAAGAACAGCAAAAAGGCCAACCAAATATTATTTTTCATTCCAAAACCAAAATGCTTCACTCTTTATTTACTTGTACGCTGCCTCACTATTTGGGGTTCTCAACTGAATGCCAAGATATAAAAGCATTTATTTTCAACCTCAAAATTCCATTTTGATAACATTTTCTTCTGAAAAACACCTCCTTTGGCCCTCACTCCTAACTAAAGTAATCCCCTTTACTCTTTAGACATATTCACAGTTACCCAATTCCCAGTGTCCTTTTTTTCTTAATATTTCTATCTATAAAGTGCGAACGATGTATCTTAAATTACTACCATTAGGGAAAAGAAGTTTGGTTACCGCTTGAAGAGCCTGAGAAGGCTTGCCTTGATCGATAAGGTTGCGAGCCATTGTGAGCAGCTCCATCCCGACTTCTTTTTGACCATGCTGGTGCGGCGCCGTCGCGGCGGTTTCCTCCGTCTGCATCATATCGGCGTCCATACGGTCCATGGCATCTAGTCTCCTCTTTTCCGTTCTTCGCCGACACAATGAACCCTTCTCTCCAATTCGGACTGCGCTTTTCAGCTAGCATTTCGGCTTTTTCTATTGCGCCCATCACTCGTGGGTTTCAATGACTTCTAGGCTCAGTCTTAGGCCTGATTTAAGATTTCTAGCCTAATTGAGCCCATGAATTTGGATGGGCTTTCAATAATTTTTTTATTATAAATGGCCTATGTAGGTTAGTTGATGTAAACTTGGAACCACTGCCTTTGTCGATTTGAGAATTACGTTGGTTAAATTAATTTTGAATTGAACTATTTAAAATTAAATTAATTAAATTACTTTCATTAGTAGAATTAAATTTATTAATTTTAAAAATTGATTAATAAAATTTAATTCTGTCGGTTTAATTAATTTCTTTGATTAATTGAATAATAAAAATATTTAAGTTAAATTATATTTTAAACTTTTAATTTCTTATATTTTAAACAAATTAAATAAAATTATCTAATAAAATATTCAAATATCAAAGTATTATATTAAAAATTTTGACAACTTATGAAATAAAACGATCAATTTCATATATTTTATTTTATATTTGAATTATATTATATTTGGGTTAATTTTATTTTCAAACTAAATTAACCTAAAATTAAAATTCTTTTAAAATTATTTTAATTAACAAAACGAGTTAATTTGACTGATTAATTAAATTAAATCATTTTGATAAGTTAATTTAATTAAAATCAAATTATGAATCCTCCTAAACTTTGATGCATTAATTATTACATCAACAATGGTTTCTTCTTTTTGTAATCCTGCCATGTTGTTTCTGAATTGAGATTGGATTGCATTGTCGATGACTGCTGCAACTGGTAGATGATGGCTCATGCTTCTTCAACGATGCTCTGCTCGCTTTCACTACCACTTGGCCCATGTACATCATCTGTTTCACAGCTCACTGGGTCTTTTTATTTTGTTTGGTGCTAGAAGGATTCCAGCAGTCTATTTTGCTTTGTAATTCCTGGATTGATAACCTAACCTACTATATTTTACAGTGTAAAGCAAACTCAAGTTTAGTACTTTGCTTCTTTTTTCAGGACAGAAAAGGGTGCAATTTTTTTAACCAAAGATTGGCTAAAATAGTAAAAGAGATGCAGTTTTGTGCCATAGAAGGCCAAAGCTGGACACAACATAAAAATTGGCTCAAATCATTCCTGAAGTTGAAGGCAGGTTTAACCCATTGAGGTCAAATTTTTGCATTTGAACAATAATATATATATATATATATATATATATTATATCTCCTTAAAAATTTATTTGAAATCATAATAGAATGAAAATGATGAATAAATATATTGATAACATTGTATTTCAAAAATTTTTTGCGACAACGTAATGCGAGATTTTATAAGAGACGTATGAGTGAAATTGATGCACTTTTGTTTGAATCATAACATTTTGACTTTGTTAAAAAAATTTATCTATATTCTTTTTTCAGAAACAAAAAAGATAAAATTAGAATGTTGGATAGCAATATCGCTGAAATACTTAAGGCATCTGGTCTAATATGATCAAAGTCCAATAAAAGTGGGTTCAAGTGGGCAATGATCTGGATAACTATCACCCATAACTTTTGATAGAGGATAAAAGCCGATCAAACAACATAAGCTTATTGGCAATGCTGAAAAGGAGATGGAGAGGTAAACCTGCCACCAGGCACGAGCTTCCAATGAATGACTCTGAATTTTAATCATGAAAAGCAAAGAAAACCCTCCACTGAAGTGTCAGCAGCTCTCCATTAACACTAGAAACATAATACAACCAATGATGGCGACCAGTGACAAAGCTGCTTGATCTTCATGATGCCTTTTTAGTCATGTTTTAGTCTTTAATGGCAACTTTTTTGAGCCGGACCACTGAGTTGAGTTAGGAACTTAATAATGCTGTGGGTTAGTTGAGACTTCTGTCATCACTTTTCTTCTCAAGATTTAAGGAAACTTGGCTGTGTAGGTGAGCCAGTTTGCAATCAAAAGTGAGTGTGTAGTGGCAAGCGGGTTGGCAGTAGAGAGAAGGTAGACATATGCCCTATAGAACAGATTGGTGGTTATTGTTCATTGAAGATCCCTGAAAACTGTTTACAGCATACAAGTTAGCAATGATCCCTCTTCCCAATTCCCACCATTGAACCATTATAAGCAATCGGTCAAGTGAAAAGATGTCACACTACCCCAATTTTAACACTGCGGGATTTAGTATTGAAACTGATGACTAGTTCTCGCACAAAAAGAATGTTATATGCTACATGCCTGGGTCTGTGAACAACTAAACTAGGGTTAATCTTGGCGAGTAATGGCCTGCTCCATAACAATACACCAAACTCCAAATGCTAATGATGGAATGGGCTCTTGGATGAGCGTGGGAGCCTAGAAACAGAAGATAAGCTGAAAGGCATTGGCCCACCAAGGGCTTGCCTGCTTGATGATGTTGGGAATTCTGATTGAATCAGGATCACTTGATGAGGTTAACTTGTTCGATGTATTGGGACATTAACTCTACCCAATCTGTTTGATGTATTAAGAACAAAGGGGTTGGAAGTTCATGTGACCATGTAGCACAATGCTCTTTTCCCTTTTCTTCGTTTCAAATTAAAGTTTGTCTTTGAGATTCATCCTGCCACTTTTCCGATTTCCTACTCTGGAAAAAAGCTTTGATTGACCAAATTCAATCAGCTATAATCTAACAACAAAAAATGAACAGAGCTCAAAGCATGAACAACTAGCATTTTGTTTGGAGTTGTCCGCAAAACCATATCATAACCTGCAACGAGGATGAATCAAGTTTATTACGTCTTGCCGTCATAATTGAATTTATGAAAACTGATTTGAATTGCCAATGTAATGTCAAATGGGTTTGAAATTTAAAATTCGAAGAACTCTACTTTGAGTTTAACTCTTGACCAAATCATAGTTTACGGTTTAACAGATCAAATTGTAATGGCAAACCTAAGCCTTTGTATATGTGTACTATTGCCTGAAGTTGATTTTGAACTTATCTAAATCTTTTGGGTTTTAACTTGTGACAAACTACATGATTCTAACCTTTTGTTGTTGATGAATGGAGATTTTCGATAAGAAAAATGTAATTGTTCCTTGTATAGTTTAGGTTACATTTGGACGTGTAGTGAGAAGATGCCAAACGCATCTTGGATACTATTTTATAATTAGATCTGTATTATAAGAAATTTTTACTAAACATTAAAACATTTTGCCATTAATCAAGAAAAATCTTTCGAAAGTAATAAAAAAATTTGAAGAAATTCAAAAGTACGTTTATAATATTGACTAAACTCTTCAAAAGTAGGAAAAAAAATCTTTTTAATTAAAATTTCCAAATTCAAGGTTTAGTTGAAAAATTGAAACTCGATCCCTCCTTGAGGTATCGGTAATCAAATGGTACTTTTCTTTTGAAAAATGGTAGAGACGAAATTCAAATGCAATGAAGAACAGTAGAAAAAGATTAGTAAATTACGGTTTAACTTTGACCTAAACACTGGAAGTTTTGTGAAGCAACGTCTAACGCTTACCATAGAAAAACAAGAAGAGAAGAAATGCTATTCCAGATTCCTAATCTTTAAAAAACATGGAAAAGCTAAGAAAATAAACAGCAGGTGTGGAAATTGGAAACAAAAAAGTGAGTGGGGGAACAATACATCAACACGCCAGACCGTCCAGTTTGACTCACTATTATTCTCCAATTTGAAATGGGGCTGAAGCTCTCAAAAATCCAACCCTCCCCAACACTCTAGATTCTCTACCACTACCAAATCTGACCATAAATCCATGATCGCAACTTCAGTCCACAAAATTCACGGAATTGGGAAACTTTCAGAAGCTGACAAAAAAACCTCCACGCCCATCTTTGTTTCTTTATCATACTCCACTCAACACTATCAAATTTGGTCAAACTTCACATACAAGACACTATCCGTCGCTAAAAGGAAATGAAAATTTCTTATCTTTGCTCATTGAATTTTCCATCAAATTAAGATAAACATTTAAAATATGGGGAAACAAGTATAAAATAATGGAGAATTCAGAGCTTTAGTGGATATCGGAACAAAATAAAGTGAGAGCATCCTCAGCAAGATCCACACCATATTATACTGTATATTAAAGGGAGAAAATTCCGGTAATTGAGTATAAGAACATTAAAAAATAGAAAGAAACCCCCACTACTTGCATGATTCAACTCCCACCAAATCCACAATCTCCTGCTCCATGACTATTTTTTCCTAAACAAAGTCTTGTGCTGAGCCAAAACCAAAAACAGGGAATCCTATATTTTCTTTTTTCAAAGAGCTAGTGTACCCGCTAATCAATCTTTTTGTCTTCTTGGAGACAGAGCCCGGGCTCTAAGTTGACTATCTGAAAACCCTATTGATAGCCTGATCTTTCAGGAGTTGCTTTGACGAGTCAGATTCAATTTTTATGACCATTTTCAGGGCCGTTGGATGGGTGGTGGGACTTAAGACGATTCCAGGACCAAAGCTGCTGGTACATCCGTGACGTTGTGGCTATGATTGTGATCCCCTTCATATGTTACAATCAGCATACTTGGATCGTCTTGAGCTCGCTCTACATGTTTCCTTGCGGGGCAGCCTCTGACACTGCTACATTTGTAATAGCCCCTGAAATTACCAAAGAAACAGGTTAGGGAAACTCGGGTCTTAGTCAGGTGGACTCACACACGCCAACCAAATGAACTTTAATTCAATGTGCAATACAAAAAAGTCAATTACAACTAATTGCCACGCACAATATGACCAAAAAAAAAAATCAATGAGAACTTTAATTATTGTTTGGAGGCTTCTGTCAAACCGTAACGGGTGAAAAAGTAGTAAAGAGACCAAACAACAAAAACAAGGAAACGTGATAGGTCCAAGATTGAGAGCAAACGAAAGATTTTTGATTGATTAAAGAGTGCAAAAACAATCAATTTTTACACACCTTGGATGAGGAGAACCCTTGATTGGTTTCTGGCCATATTTTCTCCACGAATAATCATCAGGAGGAACATCAGCCATCTTGTTGCTAATAGCTGGAACTCTAATGACTCTCTTCACTCTTGATTTCCTACAGAATATATATTCAATGAAAAGGTTTAGACTTCAGAACCAAATCAATCAAAACAATCAAATTGTATGTATTACCCAAAAAGATGAGAAGCCAACCTTTTCTTGGAGCAGTGGCAACTTCCAGAGGACGATCTACACTTGACAGCAGCATCATCCATCGAATTGCACTTCCTTTTCAAAGGGAAAGATAAAGGAGGTTTACCAGAAGTAGGAACATGGGAAGGACTAGTAAATTGGAAGCCAGAGGAGAGAGATGGCTGCATGCTATCATTATCCCCTGTCAATGAAGACATAAAAGAATTCCCACCAGACAGAGTAGGCGAAGATGAGAAATTGATATTGCTAGTTGCTTCATTTCTCTCCAAAAGACCAGTCTTTGCCACCAAAAGAGGACTGCTTTTACTCTGCTGGTGATTATGAGGCAAAGGAGGCAACCTATGGCATGGGGTTGAACAAAAAGGCTTAAAAGCAGACACCTGATCTTTGCTTACTTGAACAGAAGAAGTCCCTGACTCTTGAATCTTCTTCCGAGGTTGTTGTGAATCTTGTTGCCGTTGTTTCTCTTCTCGTCGGAGAGGGCTAAGAGGGGCGCGTCTAAATCGAGCATGGCCAGTTCTCGGTCGACCCAGTAAAGATATGACCTTCTTGAAGGAGTTAACAGTCTTATCTGTAACAGCTTGGATTTCCATGGTTGGCTCTGAACCTGAAGGGGAAGAAGTTTTAAAAGAAGCATCGCGATTGTAAAGCTGTTGACTTTTAGACATCAATCTTATCAATTCTTCAACACCTTGAATCCCAGCAGTTGCCGCTTCTTTCAAAGCAGTTTCCTCCATTTTCCCTACAAAACTATTACCACGACCGTATCCCATCACTAATTCCACAGCCATCTCTGTTCATCCAGGAAAACCAATTCCCTCACACCCGCAATTTTGATAACTCGGAGCGAAAGCAGTTTTATAGATATAAAGAAAAGAAAGACTACATACACAAGAAGAGGGAAAATGAACTGAAATAATGATGAAAAAAGAAAAGCAAAGATAGAATGTGGAAGATGATTATGATAAAAGGGAAGAACCGAAAGATTCGAGTCAAACCGATGCCTTCTCAATGCAAGGCATTGGGTCACTGACCTGTCCTTCTGTTACATATTGCCGTCAAACTCACCTCTCAATGAAATTATTCCACGTATTCAAAAATTTGACCAACTCAATTTAAAAGTGGGGTCCCTTGGAAACGGGATAAACCGGTTCGGAGACCGTGTCGAAATGATGAGAGAAAGTGGGGATAAGGTCAAAAGGTAGTTATTAGCCGTTGGATTGATGACTCGGTAAAATCGTTGGGTTTTCTTTTTTTTGGGTTGGAGACAGTGAGGTGGAGTTGACCTTTAACAGCTTTTAAAAGTCATTGGTGGGACCCCTGAGAAGGGACCCACCCTCTTTTACCGGAAACTGGAAGCATGGCAGAGTCTCGTCCCACAGGTCACATTGGATTCTTTCCCCAGTACATAAAAGAGTGGGTCCCGCAAAGCCGTTTGATTTAAATTAAATATATTATAAGATTTGTTCTGTACCGTTTGGTTGTTCTCTTTTTCATCATTTGATGTGATATCATCCGTTGAAATTTTGATCAGACTGTTGAAGGCTTTAGACCCTAGCTTTAGCTTTTGATTCTTACAAGCTGGACGTTGAAAAACATTTTCTGTTTTTCTTTAATAAAATAAAAAACATCTTCAACTATAATTATATTTTTTAAATAATTATTTAATTTTAAAAACTTTAAATTAATCATTAAAATTTAAATATTACACTATTTATTAAACGTTAATGATATTAACATGATACTTAATATATCACATGATATTATTAATATGATATTATAAATTTTTATAGAATAAATTTTATTGATATAATATATAATTTAAAAATTAATGTGTTATTATCATATTAAGACTTCATTAAGAATTAATGATTAGTAAAAAATATATTTATTTAAAATTAAATTAAAAATATTAATAATTTTATGATTATTTTAAAAATATGATTTTAATTGAATGATTAATATAATTTTTAAAAAAAGCAAAAATAAGCCTGCTATTAATCTGAAATATGAAATTAACAGAATAATTTATAATATCAAAATTCCGCTCTTTTAGGCTGAAATTAGTATATGGATGAAGAAAATTTTTTTTATTGTCCTCTTTTCGCATATATTTGTCAAATCAAATCAAATTTGATTAATATCGTCAAACCAAATCTTTAATATCGGGCTTAGCAATTAAATCAAGTCAACGTGACAGGCACACCCATTAGTGACCTATGTCTATGGAATAATTGAAATGCTAAGATTTTCAAATATAAAAAATTAAATTAATAACATTAAATATATAAAAATAAAAATAAATTAATATGCATAAAAATTAAAAAAATACTTAAAATGAGAAACAATATTATTTAAAACAAAACAAACATATTATATCAAATTGAGTAAAAAATTTATAATTAATTTATAAAATTAGCCTTTCACATCCTCCAATAAAAATGTGACAACTCATTCTTTTTCATTTTTAAAATAGAATAATTCACATCCATAATCGCTCCATCACTTTTGTTTTTTTTTGTTTTCGGCTCAATCAATAGTAGGCTCCATCACTTTTTTTTTTTTTATATAAAGATGATATAATTTATAATTTTAATAAAAATTTATATAAATTTAATTAAAATAAAAAAATATATTTCATATTTTTCGTATCAATATAAATTATAACATATATTTTTTATATAAAATATAATATAAATATATAAATTATTAATATTTTATATAATATAAATATACAAATTTGGATAAAAATAAGACTACTTTATTAATATTGATTGAATGCAGATAGTAACAAGAAAAAAAAATGGTGGAAGTGACAAAAAGCATTTAAGTTAAAAATGAGAAAACCCCATTACCGTAGTAGATTTGGGTGCTCAAAAGGCCGAAGGGAAACTGTATAAGTATAGCATATATTCATAGAAGTATTGCTAAGAGCCACATCAATTTGCACCCACCAAATAAGGCAGCCCAAATTCGAGACTGTCAAAAGCAACCCGTTAAGAAACATAAGAAGCATCCATAATACTCCTAAAGTCACCAGAAAAACAGCAAAAGGCCCAAGATATGTGAATTGTGCAATTACACCGAACACTTTTCCTGGGTTTGACACTTATGAACGTGAGTTTCGTTAGATGTGAGTGTGATTTAATTTTATATTATTTCATTTATATTAATATTATAATTTCTTGTTTATTAAAGTTTTTTTTTTTTTTTGGTTCAAGAAAGGATGTAATGAGAAAGAATCTTGACTCGAAATTAAGATCTTTATATCCTTATAAAACTTTTTTAGTCACTAAATTAAGAGTTGGAAGATAAAGATTATTTAATTATATATAATTATAATTTGTATTTATACACATAATCTCATTAAAAAAAATAATTAGGAGATGAGAGCAGGCCCAATGTCGGGTGAGGTCCGAAACAGCCACTAAACCTGCAAGCCCATGGCTGATGGCTCCACCTTTTATGTGGTCTGGGTAGCCTGGAAGAAATTTTCATTATCTACGCCGCATGTTTGATATTTGTCGGTATGATTCGGTGGGGTTAAGATACGTAATTGAAATGCCAAATTGCATGGAATATTATAAATTATAGATGTTGAGGCTTCAACATCATGAATGTCAGCTTAAAAGACGTAACGGCGACGGATTCTTCAGATAATGACAAATGGGAAAGAGATTCCCAATAAGTTAAAGGTAGATTCTCTCATCTGTCTTGTAAGAGGGTGGTTTTAGTTTTGTTATAATCCTCAATTTCGGACATCATCTTGTTGTCTGGATATTTCTAAGTATTAAATTATTAAAATTTCAATTTTAATTACGAACATTAATTTTTTTTTTTTTGTAAAGATCGTATTTTATGAACAAATCACATGATTTTCGACTATTATTTTAAATTTATCTAGTATAATTTAACAAATTATACAAGCGACTTCAAAAATTAGAAAATCTTCAATTCCCCCGACATGGTCAAGAGAAATCTTCAAAATTTTCTGGCAAAGCCTTACAAGTAATTGGAGAAAAGAGTTGAAACTAGGGAGATAGTGTCATGTCAGCACTATGGTAGTTGGATTCAGTAATTTTGCAGTAGAAATTTGCAGAAGAGAGGGTAGGCATTTGGCTGGCAAAAATCAAAGACTGAGGCTTGCGTATTATTATAGATAGAGAATTTCCGAATCTGCAACAGGTGAACGTTATAGTACACCTGTTTTTTTTGGATTTTTCAAGTGTCCTTTATTAGGGGCCATAAGTTTCAGCATCATGGGGCTTATTCTGGGCGATGAAGTGATGATCCGGATCAAAATATCTTCTGCTTGAATACATGAGATTCAACTGTCCATCCCATTATTAGTTTTATATGAACTTTTTTAGAATAAGTAATTGGACCACCTTTGCATCCGCTTGGAATCTTTGGTTTCCTCTATTAATGTATTTTATTTTCATTTTTTCAAATTGAAATTATTAAGATGGATACATTATAAAATGTGGGATAGAGACTCATTAATCTTTCATTCAAATGGCCTTCTCAAAGATTCTCCATCAACTCTAGTTTTAAATTGCTAAGATATTATGAACTTGATTTAAATGATTCGTCAATTTTTTAAGAGATAAATCCAACAAGATTGGAATTCCATTTCAATACTTGCTATTTTTTTAAAATTTTCTCTTAATTTTGGTTTCTTTTGTAAAAAAGATGTCTAATTTGGCCATAAGTATTTGAATGTTAAGATGCAATCCTTTTGACCATTTTTAACATTTGCATTTTTTTAACTCTCACCATGTTTTGCATGAGAGTACTACATCTTTTGGGGTTTTTATCTCAAAAAAAAAAAAAGAAGTCGTAAGTCATCATGATAATAAGTAATTGATAGAACCTTTTCCCATTTCTTGCATTGAAATCAACATGCCACCAGCTAAAATTGGCTATGCAACCTTTCAAATATTCAAGGAACGTTAAGTCAATTGCACTTTTCCATTTTCCAAAGCTATATATGATTGTTTTCTCTAATATTTAAAAATGACTAACATAGATATTAATAACATTGCAAACGTAATATTTGATAGGAAATTATTGAATCAAATTGGAATTTTTTAAATTTCTTCTTTAAGCTATTCAACCAAAAACAATTGAAGTTTTTTTGTCAAGAATCTCACCAGAAATGTTTATTAATAAAAATGATTTTTATTCACTGAACTTCCTCAACAATTGGACAAGAAAGCGAACTTGTTCAACAAAAGAAAAAGAGGAGCCGTGAGGGACTCAACAAGTGGGCAAATGAATGATCAGGTATTGAAAGCGAAGATGGGGTGAAATTATTGATGTAAGGACGAAAGTCATTACTCCAACTTTCCATTGGGTCCTACTCCAAAACAAAAGAATCGGTCGCAGTCTCCCACTCACCCAAGAAACGCTGATGATGTCCACAGTTCAAAGTTCAAACTAGGTGGCCCATCCTAAATCACTCGTATTTTTTAAATGATATTTATTTAAAGTATTTTTGATAAAAACGTTTTAAATAATTTTTTTAAATAAAAATTATTTAAAATATTTTTTAAAAAACATTTTAAACAATTTTAAATAATTTTTATTAATAATATTTTATAAATAAAAATAATAATTAAATAAAATATTTATTTTTTTACTGTTAAAAAATATCATTTATTGTTAAAAAATTTATTATTAATAAAAATTAATAAAAATTATCATCATATATATATCAAAAAAATTATAATAATTATTCAAAAATAATATATATAAATTTTTTCAATCAAATAAATAAATTTAAATACAAAATATCTTAAAAATAAAAAAAATAATCTAAAATATCACATTTTTAGAATCATACTCTCTTAAAATTCGAAATTCTACGAATGAAACGTCCGTTCGTGTATTTAGATAATTTTCATTTAGTTTTACCACGCGAATCACGCCCAGGTAGAAACATGTTTTAACTGTGGTCAATCAAAGCAGCTGTCTGAATTCTTACAAGAGCACCCTAACCATCACATGTCATCCGCATGCTTCCCGGTTGTGCTGTGCTGTTCCCTTCTCGTCAGTGTCCTTTTATCTTCATTTTTCAAGATCATCTAGATGTAGATATAGAATAATAATTAAAAAAATACTACACATTTATTTGTTTTCCATTTATATTTCTTTTCCAGCTAGTAATAATATATTGAATTTATCAAGTTCATTCCTTTATAAAACCACCTTCACTGCCCATTCTTCTCCCCCATACATTCAAAATCCTATTCCTTTTCTCTTTTCAGACATGGCTTTACATCGATCAACCATGGCGATGCTCTTGCTGATGATGTTCAATTTATCATCAGCTCTGGACATGTCGATCATATCATACGATGAAGGCCATCCCGACAAGACAAAGTCTAGTTGGAGAACCGACGACGAGGTTTTGGCCATTTACGAGGAGTGGCTTGTAAAGCATGGGAAAGCGTACAACGGGTTGGGAGAGAAAGAGAGGAGGTTTGAGATTTTTAAGGATAATCTTAGGTTCATCGATGAACATAACGCGGATGAGAGCCACAGTTATAAGGTTGGCTTGAACCGATTCGCTGATCTGACCAACGAGGAGTACCGAGCGATGTTCTTGGGAACTAAGAAAGCCAACAGGAAGGTTTCCAAGACGAGTGATCGTTACGCCCCTCGTTTGGGTGAGGAGTTGCCTGATTCCATTGATTGGAGGGAGAAGGGGGCTGTGGTTGCGGTCAAAGATCAGGGAAGTTGCGGTAAGTATTTTTAACACATATCGGTTATTGTCTTTTGATTGTTAACTTAGTTTTAATTTTCTGATCTGAAGTTTACTTGGGTCAATTTTTTCTTAGTACCTGTCTTTGATTGATGTTCGTCTGTTTGAAGAGTAACACTAATTCTAGTTATCTGCTTTAACTGCTATTTGTCAAATGGTAATTATTTGTGCCAATTATATTTGATCAGACGATTTTGTCCATGTTAACAAGAAACTGTTTCGGGGCTATGGCTTTTCTGTTCTTTTCTCATAGACCCTGGGAGTTCAATAGTAATCTTGGACCAACAGTGAAAACTGGTCAAACGCACTATGAAACAATTAACTTCATTTTTTTTCTTAGATCTTTAAAGGACAAAGAAAACATTTCAGAGGACTTCGAGGAAGGATCCTGGGGTTTGTCCTCGTCTGAGGGAATCTTTGCTTGAGTGGTTTTGGTTTGGGGTGGATAAGTCATGATGTGCTTTGCAGTTTCATGAATTCTGGTTTTGTTACGTTGGTTAGATGGACCAATCAACTACTGACACGATTAATCATTAAAAATATAAATTGCCCTACAGTTCCTTGGAGGGTTCCACAGCTTGGCAATAGACATGTTGAGCTGATGTGTCATGTTTCGAGTTGGCAGCTTTCGGTGGGGTAAGGAGTAAGGTTGCTGGCGCGAAGTTTCAGCGCCTACTCTGTTCATGGGAAAGCACACGTGTTAAGATGTCTGCTGGGAGTTTGTAGTTTGTACATAAATACTGCTTAATTAATCGATAGAATCCAATATGTTCGAATTCACAAGATTAAGAATTGCTTTTGTATATGTTAAATTGTTTATGCATGTTTTGCTATGATGATTTTAGTGACTATTCAATATAGGGAGTTGCTGGGCTTTCTCAACTATTGCTGCGGTGGAGGGGATAAACCAAATTGTTACAGGCGAACTCCTCTCACTCTCTGAGCAGGAGTTGGTGGATTGTGATACATCCTATAATGAAGGATGCAATGGGGGCCTTATGGATTATGCCTTTGAGTTCATTATCGACAATGGGGGCATTGACTCTGAAGAAGATTACCCTTATAAAGGTCGTGATGGCAGATGTGACCCCAACCGAGTAGGTGTTTAGTTCCAAGTTAAAAGGGAACTAAAATTTTATTTCATCCAGAAAGGTTTATAATAAAAGAGAATTTCTTTTCCTTAATTGGGTGTTTTTTCACCTGCAGAAAAATGCCAAAGTTGTTTCCATTGACAACTATGAAGATGTTCCAGAAAATGATGAGAAAGCATTGAAAAAGGCAGTTGCAAATCAGCCAGTGAGCATTGCCATTGAAGCAGGAGGCAGGGCTTTCCAGTTATATCAATCAGTAAGATTCTAGATCCATCAAAGTTAATAGTTATTGTAAAGCCATAAGGTTTAGATTAATGATGATCCTGGGATAACATACGATTATGCTTAGTGGAATCTGGAAAATCTGGAAATGATATTGTGGAGTTGTTGTTGCTATTTGTCGTTTACTTGTCATTTCTTTAGTTATAGCCTTTTACCATAGAAAGAAAGGATTATAATATTGGTATGATTGCCTAGGCGTTCAGAATTCAATAAAATCTTTTGCCAACCAACAAAATTAGTTCTCCATAGGTTGAATGCTTTGTTGCTACTGGCTTATAAAGTTTTAAAACCATTTAATAAATGTCATATTTGATCATGACGCAATAATGTCTTCTTAAAACTGGAGTTAGAATAATGTATGTCTATCGATCTTCCAATTTAGGGTATATTTGATGGAAGATGTGGGACACAACTGGACCATGGTGTGACTGCTGTTGGATATGGCACGGAGAATGGTAAAGACTACTGGATTGTAAAGAACTCATGGGGTCGCTACTGGGGAGAGGCAGGCTATATTAGGATGGCAAGAAATGTGGTCAATACCGTAACAGGCAAATGTGGAATTGCAATGGAAGCCTCTTATCCTATTAAAAAGGGTCAAAATCCCCCCAATCCTGGTCCCTCTCCCCCATCTCCGATAAAGCCTCCAACTGTTTGTGATAATTATTACACCTGTCCCGAGAGCAATACCTGCTGCTGTGTCTACGAGTACTATAGCTACTGCTTTGCTTGGGGATGCTGCCCACTTGAGGCTGCCAGTTGCTGTGAAGACCACTACAGCTGCTGCCCGCATGACTACCCTATCTGCAACGTAAATGAAGGAACCTGCTTGATGGTACGACCAAAAGATCATTTTGCGTTCGTATGTTCTTGATTATGCTAGTAACATTTTTAGTTTTGTTCCCCCACATTTTTATCTTTTGCAAATGCGTGATCATTGATCATTTGTCAAATTCAACATTTTTTTCAATTCTAATAAACAAGTGTTCTATCTTTTCCTTTCTCCTTATTTTTCTAGAAGTTACTAACTTTCTGGTTGCTTGCTTGAATTCGTTTTGCAGAGCAAGGGCAATCCACTGGCAGTGAAGGCACTGAGGCGCACTCCTGCTAAACCTTTCTGGGCTCATGGAAGTGTAGGCAAAAAGAACAGTGCTTAAGCAGAAGCCTGGTATTTTATGCAGTAGGTGATGCTAAAGGGAGGATGAAAGAAGCTTGACAGTGCTTAATATTCTCCTTGGTTTTATCATGCTGCAATGCTCCTTTATTTCATTCTCATACCGCGATGGATGGTTTATAAAAAGCTACTCAGATGCTAATTATGTATATAGCTTCCCGTTTATCCATGTTGCATTTCGGAAACAGACAGAAACATTGTCAATTTCTGTTGTCCTCAGTGTATCATATCATCATTTAGCAATAACTTTTAAGAATTGATGATTTCTTAATCCTATTCTACTTTATAGTTGCTTCATATCAATTGTATAATTTTTCTTTTCGCAAATTCGACAAGTTTTTCATGATTTTAAAATGGAGGTGGAAGATCCAACTGCATTTAAAATCTTGATTACACGGGGATGCTCAACAATTTGCTGAGTCCGTATGTTATCCTTATTCACATGGCATAATTGTATGGATGGATAAGCTAGGGTACTTAAGCGGTCGGGCACGATAAAGTGCCTTTAATCATACGAGAAAGCGTATGACTTTGTGCTCAAACTGCTTATTACATTCAAATAATTTCTTCCTTTAATGCAGGTTCGTTAACGATACCAGTAGGTGATTCTAGTTTTTCTGGTTTTCATTTGAGAAAGTGACTGGCAATTGTTATAATTGCTTCATTCCCAAGAGAAAATTGCTTCATTACGATTTCTGTGCTATATTAAGTTTGAAAACAACAAACCTAAACTGTCTTGCACCATCTATAAGAAACAGTGATGGCTTCTTTTTTTTCAACCCAATGTCAGCTGTGAAGGAATATCAAGATGCAGAGTTATACAGTGGCTAGTTATGAAGCTCAGTCCAAAATACAAAATGATATAAAAGACAATTAATTATAAGGACATGGACACATATTAAACATCAAAATTAGAGTTTTTTTTATAATTATTTGGAATTGAAAATTCTGAATAGGAGTATGAAACTAATACAAATTTAATAGGTGATCATAACTTATGCAAGTATGAATAAAGGGATGGCAGCATGAAGAGGCAAAACAGGGAAAAAGAAAGGAGAAAAATTTTTCTAACCCGTGAGGATTTGCCAATTTATTATTAGGAGAGAGACGCATCTTTTCATTCTGGCGTATGAAAGAGGATAAACCTTAGCTGCCACAATTAATCTGGGCATTTGATTCCTGCTTTGCCTATCTCTCCATGCTCTCAAAAATGAGTGCCTAGATAACTAGTATGCAGCAGTCCAAGATCATGGCAAATGGCAATAATACTTCTAGTATGAGCAGAAAAAAAATAAAAAGAAAACTTATTAATCAATCTAATTCAACTGTTACAAGTTTAAAGCTCTCACAAGAGGTAGATATATAGACTTAATGGTGTCACATTAAGTTAGAGCTGCTGTCAAATTGTAAGCTGTAAGTAGGGGAGGCAATTGACTCAAAAAACTCTTGTTTTAGACCGATGTTACTATCTTGCCTTCCAACATAAGGGACCCTTTGCCCAAATGCCATGTCTCACAAGTAGGGACCCAAAATGTTGAAAAGTTGAGAGTTGGGGACCAATATCCTCTGTTTCGGGTGGAGGAGGAGGGGGGGAGGGGGGGAGGGGCTAGATTCCAACTGTAGTACACAACAATTCAATCCCATCCCCAACTCTATTATCCATCATCATTCTTCTTCATTTTCATTTGGTTTTTCCGGGGGACCATTGCTCCAAGGGACAAGGATAGACCATTCAGGCTGAACCCCACTCTTGCCCTTATTAAGGAGATTGCCTTCGGCAATTGACATAACCATAACATCTGTCTTGATTATGAAAGCACAAAAAAAAAAAAAAGGTACGTTGGCAATTATATTAAGTTATAAGCTTGCATTTTTAAATCTAAAAGCACAATTTTGTTCTGTTTAAGTTCTTTCATGTCAAGCCCCTTGCTTTTTATTTCCTTCTCCTTTTTTCCTTTTTTCCCCACCCCATCAAATACGAGAAATGGTCTCAGTTTGCATGGATAAATACCATTATCATCAGTTTCATCACCTTGCAACTGCACATTATTGATGTTCCAATCCGGAGCTTTTGACCGCACCGAACCTCTGCTGGTGTAGGGTTTGTTTTTAGTATTAAAAACTAATGGAAAAGCATGCTGAATTGCACTGATAAGTTGATTATACAATATAATCAGCCAGCTAATTACATTTTTTAAAAATAATGCTCATATTTTATGGACAGAGAGACGAGATAGGGGTGCAAAGACAACTGAGTGAGCTAAAGAAGGCAAATCATATCTTTTGATGATAAATACACTTGATTATCCAATTAGTAATACTTCCTGATCATCAGTCTCTGCGAGGTCCAAATCCTAGTTGTACTACTGCACCATCTTCTTGTGGTAAATTAGCATTTACAGGGTTTGGCTTCTCCTTTTGAGCTGCTTCCAGTTGACTTAAAGGTTCTGCTTTTGTCTTGGCAATTTGAACTTCACTTAGTGGACCTCCGCTATCAGCCTTCACTCTTTGGCTTGTGTTATTGTTGTTGTTGATCAGAGCTATGCCAGGAGCTTCAATATCATTATAAGATGGGATGAAAGAAGGTAGCTTGGATAATAAAGCACCAAGACTGCAAGGGATAGTAGGAAGATGGGGTGGAATTGACCAAAAGGGTGATCCTATAATGCCATTTTGTGGGCTGTTCCAACCTAAGTTGATGGACTTGATTGAAGAATCCACCGGTCTTTCGCCGATCAATCTTTTTGTTCCTCCTAACTGGCGTTTGTCATCAAGACAGAATGTTGTTTCATGGTTTTCAAGTATCTGGTTATTTGGTTTGAGGACGTATGGATGTTGGATTGGCAAGTCTGATCTTTGAATGGCAAAGACGCCAGGTAGGCTCTGGAGATAGCTGAATTTCCTCTGTATGCTGATCACTAGATTAAGATCTTCCGCAATCTGAAAAATCCATTATTCTTTGACTGACTTAAAGCCAAAAGAATTTTGTTTAACAAAAAAAAAAAAAAAACAGAGAGAGAGAGAGAGAGAGAGAGAGAGAGAGAGAGAGAAACCTTGTCCAATGAACCAAGTTGAATGATTCCTTCTGTGACAGAAATGATGGCAATTGTCTGCAAATCAAGAGAAACTGTAATGAGCATTTTTTAATGGGCTATAGCAGCGGTTACAGTTGGAATTCTCTTTTCACATTTTTTACATTGTGTAGTTACCAACCTGAATGCCTGAATTGAATTGAAATTCCCACGCCCTTGGTTGCTGGTTATAGGATCAGAAAACTGGAAACTCAGGTTACAAGAAAAAAAGTACATTCGCTTATGCATTGAATTCTGTTGAGGATAAAAGAAAATGCTATACAGGTTATCTTACAGGCTCAATAGACATATTCCAAGAGGAGATGAAACTAGGATCATTGTCATTTGGGGTTTCTTTATACACCCATTTGTGACTGTTATCTGCTGCAATTTTACCTATCAATCTGTAATCAACGTGCCATTAACTTCACCATTCAGCTCTTGAAATGATTATTTTACTTAGGTAAGGAATTCTCACCCTTCTCCATAGTTGTAGACTTCATGAGACATTTTGAAGAAAATATCAGCTCCAAACCTCCCCTTTACATAGCCACTTCCAGCACGCTCACATTCATGGAAGTCACAAAACCCATCTTCCCAGACAAGAATCCTAAAACACAAAGCCATCAAGAGCTTACAAATTGAACAAAATGAAACATGGTTTTGCCACAAAAATTTAACTGAATTACCAGTTCCTTATGTTTCCTTTGGAACGATCAAGAGCACTGCCACCATAATCCCACCTGCAAGAGAGCAATTTGATCTACAGACATTAAGTGGACATGACATTAGACAAATTCATTATCACTTGGTTTTGACATTAAACTCTCCTGAACCTATCAAGCTTGTTGGCCTTGACAATTTTTCTTCTTACTTTGGTGGTGGATAATTTCGAGGCAGGATCCGCCAAAACACAGCATAAACCCACTTTGTAGAAGTAGAAGAATCTGAATATGAACACAGGCTGCGCAGGGTGTGCTGCAGGAGACAGTTAAGCATGGGAAGTCCAGCTTCCATTTTCACTCAAACTAGAGCAATAGAGTGAGAGAAAAAGAGAGCTGTCGCCGGACAAAGAGTCCAAGTTTAAAGTCGCACATATAAAAGGCAAGCGCAAGAAAAGCATAGCCACGTTTCCAACCGCTGACAGTTCAGTGTAAGAAACACGCTCCAATTAAATTCATTTGTACAAATGTACACTTCGCCCTCTTATTTGTTTTTCATGGTGGGACCAGCTCTTTAGTGGTTGATTCAAATGCAAGACAAACGACCGGTTTAACACTCCAAATGAAATTGTTGGCGAGTTTGATACACTCTCCCTGCTAAGGACTTGGGGGTGGCATTTCTTGATCGGACAGCTTCCCCACGGAAGCTTCTTTAATTTTGTGTCTTTGCTTAAGAGAGCAGGATGGACAAATACGAACAGTTGGTTTCAATAATTCTGTTTGATTAGGATATGATAATGTGAGAGCTTTGATGGGATTATCTCACCATGCAGATTGTAGTGTCTCACTTGCATTTCAGCAGCAAAGTTTGCAATTGATTATAAGAGGACAAAAGGATGTATGAAAATTGAGGTTTTCTTTCTTTATTTATTTCCCCAAATCAAACACTAATTTCTTTTCTTTAGGACCTCTTTAATCTTTATTCAAGTGAATACAAGAGAATTTGATTAGATGGATATCTCATGTTGAACCAATGCTACCATTTTGCCAACAAGGCCAGACAGACAGTCACATGGAGATTCTGATTCTTGCCTTTAACAAAGAAAAAGATCTCCTATTGTTGTTATTGAATAATCTGAATTGCTAGATGACTTAAAGTTCAGTTCAAAAATGTTTTATTCCGAATATATAAGATGTAATGAGCCCTTCCTGACAAATCTTTTGATTCTGAAAACTAAAAATGTTTTACACAGCTATAAATTATAATAGAAATTCTTGATCATTTTCAAAATAACAGGTGGAAAAAAAATCCACATTCAAAAGGAAATATGCTACAGAACAACTAGACAGTTTTAACATCTGTTCTTAGAAATTGATAGTATTTGTTTTTCAGTAAAAATCACTTGATTTTGTTGTAACAATATTTGATCTCAATATATACGTTTGTCTATTGATGTAGTGGCAGTGGTCCTGAAAGGCTGATGGGTCTTATAAATCAATTATGCTAAGTTATAGGATTATTGACTTATCAACTCTGTAATGTTATAGCTGGCTCAGTTAAAATGGTCATGAATCTGAGCCTGGTTCAACGTCCCTGGGATGGAGAATGATAACAATTTTATAGCTCTTCAAGCGATAAATATCAATGTACTGAGATATGGAATCCAGTTTATCATATATCATAGCTAAAGTATTTCTCTTGTTCCAAGAGATGGAAAAGGTTTCAGGCTTTATCTTCAAGGTCATCCAAAGGGGGCATCTTCTGAGACCGTATCTTGATAAATATTGCAGGCTTCAATGTCAGAACGTTGTATACTCAGGAAGCTTTGGTCAATCTGATAAAGGAATAGCTAAAGTGGGTTGCAATCCCGGGAAGAATCATATGGAGGTCCTGTTGCCCTTCAATATAACTAGAAAAGCAGTCAAGAAGCCACTTTACCTGCCCAAGCTCTTGACTAAGAGAGCGGTCCAAGGGTGGTTAATATATCGGTGGATTCAACATTTCAATTCTGTAGTAGTTGATTGAAGACATGCATTTTCTTAAACTCTGACAAGTGGCAAATTACAGACGATCTAAAGGCTAACAAAGCTTCAATTTTAAGTCTCTAAAAAGTAAGAAAAAGAAATCTGAATGAAATCTTATTTACTTTTTGTAAAAAGAGAAATGTGGTCCTCTAGCAATCCTTATAATTACTGAGAGTGCAGCACCATGCTTCCTGAACAAGATCAATAGGTCCTACTCACTTTTTTCCATGTCCTGGGGTTAACTGGATTCCATTTACATAGCAGCAGTTCCCTTCAGATAGAAAGTTATCCAGAGACCAATCAAATTGCATCTTCCTCTGCTAAATTTGCATGGAAGTTTTATAATTTTTTGACAGCTCAAATGTAAATGGATCTAATCATGATAAATACAACTTAGTCTGTCAAATGTAAATGGAAAATGCAGGAAAGGTGCCATTTGAAGGAGTCATAAATTCATTTCTTATGTACTTAACCCAAATCAAGAGTAATTAAAGAATGTAATTTACATATAGCTAGAGTACGGTTTCTGAAGATAAGAGTTACCCATTCCAAGTAACATGACACAGTGCAGTTAATATTTTTCCCGAGAATTGATATAATAATTGAAGAAGATATAGGTCCAAGTTGAATGCCGTGATTGGGACGTGGCTTGCATGGGTGGGGCAGGTAAAAAGATTGACAGCTACAATTAGTAAGGCAAAAGAGCATCCCAACTCTTTCTAGAAGGACATCCATGGCATGGCCCTCTCCACCCCTACAATAATCTCTTTTCCTTGCCTTTCCTTATCTCTTTGGATTGAACAGTCTAACAACCACCTCTCATTGGTGCAACCACGGACCTAAATCTCATCAGAAATATCAGTCCACAAAATTTTTATTAGCCAACCTCTTTTGCTGTTTTCCTATGCAGCTACACAGCCTATACTGACCTCAAATGCTGAGTCTTTGCTCTTTTTCCACTTTAATGACACTGCCTCATGCTTCAGTGAAATTTTTGCTTGGCTTTAACATCATTAATAATTACCAAAATTGAAGATCCAACAGGTTTTATGGTGCCAGCAGGGATCTAAGAGGATACCAAGCTTAGGTAATTAGAACAAAAATAATCTTTCCTGCAGAAATGGTGGTGATTTCCAGCAGCAAGAAGATTGAAGGCTACTGTCCATATTTTCTATGGCCTTAGAAATGTATGGACCAGGACCCAGGTTTCTTTTAATGATACTCAAATCTGCAAAATAATTACAAAGTTAAAGCAAGTTTTCCAAAGTCATGAAAGCTTGGATTCCAACCTAGGTCCACTTCTGCATATGATCAAATGGAGCCAAAATCAAAAACTCACAAGCACCAGACAAAGTTGTGCTTGTACCCACTGCTAAACAGCATTCGGTACCTACAAAAGCGACAATACATTAAAGCAAAGAAGAAGAAACGTAGAATTAAATGTTGGGGAAGTTCCAAATTTGCAATTTCATGGTATCCAAAATACTTCACAGAGTATTTCAACAGACAAATATATCAAGAACAAGTCAATTACTCAAGCTGGGTCTAGAATGCTTAACTTTCTTTTACATACAACAGTTTTCTTCAAACAATTATCCATAGCGGGCCTAGAAAATCTTTCATAAACTCCAGAAAGGAGGGTTTTTCTTGTCAGAGAAAATCCAAGTAGAAATAAATGTCCCGTCACGTAGTTAGAAAAGCTGCTCATCTCATGGAGAAATTACATTGAAAAAAGTATTAGAACATTTAAAAAAGGCAATAGCATGGAACATCTCAACATTCAATGGTTTAACCTACCTGGAGCCTCCTGTTTGGGTCGTAGGTAAGAGCCATTGTCTCTCCAATGTACAGCTCAAAACTGAGAAAGAACCTACAAATGACTTAAAACTATATATGAACGATGCAATTATATCAGCTAGCAGTACTTCAAAATATCTCAGAGGGAAGATAAGAGTATTAACATCAGCTAGTAAGTGTGCGTAACAGGGCTGCGAGAGGTCAAATCCGATGAAAATTCCGTACAAAATGGGTGCTTGTTGTCTGGCAGAGATTTAGTTTGAGTTCTTTTTCGTTATTAACTCGGCACAGTCAATGGACAAGGATTTCCTCTCCTTGGGCCCTCGGAAATCTGCTGAGCAGAAGCGAACACTAACTTTGGGCTTCCTAATTTTTACTCAGTCCAGACCAGAATAGCAGAAGTCCAAACTATTCCCAGCCCCCGCCTTCGCTTCATCAGGTAAAAGTTGGGCCAAGTAGCCAACTTTTGGCCCAGACTTGATTTTGTGATTCGTGCAGTTGCAACTCCGGAGCCAGGAACAGGGAAGGAGTCAGGACTCATAGGCGATTCTGGAAATTAAAGAACATAAATGATATATTTTTTTAACTTGCTCAATTGTCTTAAAACAGTATAAACTAACAATCATAAATGTCGTTTATCACCTAGATTTGGTATCATAAATAGTGGTAGTTATTAAAATTGATGAGAAGTGCGATCAGCAAAGCTCCTATTGATAGTTGCTTAGTTGGGACATCCCTCCTGGAATAAGCTCTTTCCATGCCCAATGAGGCCAATTTGATTTGAAATAATCATAATGCCTACAAACATCACTGAAGTCAACAATCAACCGCAAAAATCGGCAGACAAAACTGAGTTGGCATGTTGACAATGGGGCCATTGACTTTCCTGGATTGGATTGAGTTTACTGGAAACGCTTCATTGTCAACGTCGACGGAATACTTCTTTTGAATCCTGCTCAAAGGGTTTGTTATCCTGCTTTCTTTTGATGGTTAATTCATAAAATTTACTGCGTTAAGCATTGGAGATTCTTCTTCTTAGTTGACTCCCAATGGCATGTCTATCAAATTAGAGCGTACAGCCGATATTCTTCGGCAAGTTGATGGTTTTCCACCATAAATAATTCAAAGCGCCCCATGATTAATGCAGCTATCGGGGTGACTAAAACAGTTCTGTCAACTCTCATCAAGGAAGATTATTTCCCCCAGCCCTATAAATACTAGTGGTAGTAGTTTTATATTTCATAGTAAGACAGCTTTTTGTTCAGGCATCAGGATAAAGGTAGTTGCCTACTTGCATCCATGTCGATCTCTGGAATCCAAGGCCTGCCTTTCGAGGTTACAGGTATGAACACGAGCACCTTATTCCTGATTGCCAACGTTATCTTCTTACACATATCCCAATCTGGGTTTAATTTCTTTTGCAGTTGTTGGATGTTACAACCTGGAGGACAAGGAATGGATATCAAGACAGGATCCTTATGTCTGTCTGGAATATGGAAGTGCCAAGTACAGAACCAAAACCTGCACAGGTAATTGGTCTGTCCTTGGCATTTAATTTGCTAATATGACATCAAACAGAACTTTATGTTTTAAGCAAAGCTCCGCTATTAACAAATCTCATTTCCAAATAATTTTGTTTAGATGGAGGGAAGAATCCTACCTTCCAAGAGAAGTTCATTTTCACACTTATTGAAGGCCTCAGGGAGTTGCATGTAATGGTTTGGAACAGCAACACTCTCGTTGCTGATGATCTTATTGGCAGTGGAAGGTAAATGATCTCATTCTATACTTTCATTTGAAAAGAACAAAAACTCCCTTAACTCTCTAGTTTGAATGATCAGTTGTTCTAGCTTATGTTACAGGATTCAACTCCACAAAGTCCTTACCCAAGGTTTTGACGATTGCACCTGGCCACTGCAAAGCAAATCTGGCAGGTTGGTTAAAAAGAAGCTTGTATAATCTCTTGTAACCATGACCTAGCCATTGTTAAATTTACGTCTCTGATAGATTTCTTTCGGTGCAGACATTCAGGAGAGGTAAGACTCATATTGCACTACCCTAATGCAATGGTAAGTTAATTTACCAAGTTCCATGTATTTGCAGAACTCCATAAATCCTTACTGGAGGATTCATACTTAAATATAAACCTCACCAAGTAACCATGGTTTCGAATTGTAGCAACCGCAAAAATTCAAGACAAAATTAGCTTCCTCAGTTCCAGAATATGCACCATCTGCCCCCTTCAACCCGGTCTCACCATATGGTCACCCACCAGCGGCACCCCCAGCTGCTTACCCGACTCCGATGCCATATGCAGCTCCATCTCATTACAAGTCATATCCTACTAGTACAGCAACATATCCGCCGTCTCCATACGCTGCCTATCCTCCACAGGCCCCTGCTGCAGGTTACCCTCCACATGTCCCTCCTGCTGGTTATCCTCCACAAACATACCCACCTCCCCCTCATGCCTCAACCTATTATCCACCAGGTACATTTTGTTTCTTCATTTGTGTTTTCTTTCGTTTTTGTTAGCTAGTAATTGTGCACTTCTCTTTTTAAGCTGCTGTCCGATTGATGCATGCTATAAATTCCTAAAAGTAAAAAATTCAAGATCTTGAAACTCATCCCAGTCTCTCTCCAAATTTCCGTGTTTGTCAGTTGCTTTATCTGAATTTCTAATTATTGCTGCAGCACCAACCGGAATCTATCCTCCACCACCCTATTGAGCTCGTTTGCAATGTCATACAAGCAGAGAAAATACTACATCAACAGAAGCTAAAAGAATTCATGCTTTGAGCCACAATGGCTTCGTATTTTGTAACTATTCTGATCTATGCAGAAAATTTCACTGCATTGGAAGAATATATTTCCCTTTTTTTACTCTTTATTTCAAGCATTCCTGTATGTTTTTATTAAACAATGGTTTCTTGTAATAAAAAAGTGGTTTTTCTCTCAAGTTGGTGGTATTTGTATTCAGCTTCCTGTTTTGTTTAGTATTTTGACAAAGAAATTGATATATTATTAAAGCATGGAAAATCATGTTTTAGAACACTGCTGACCAATTAGTTGTGTGAGATCAATGGTGGACTAACAATTTTGTCCTTTCCATCTTTGACTGAATTTAGCCTTAGCTAAATGATCATTGCATACTCATTTAGACTGGCCACAGTACATATCTATAAGCAATATGACCAAGATGACTAAAGATTTCCTTGGAATGTTATTGGCTATTGATCATAAGCCTTTTTATTAGCTTAATTATTTTTTTATACAAAAAATTTTAGATAAGGAAAGATTATCTATTTCATAATTAAAGTTTCAATAAAAATTTATATTGAATTTACATTAATAAATTATTGACAACGAAAATCAAATTTAAACCTTAAATTCAATTTTGTACAAACCATATAGTTCCATGGCCTAATGTGATAGTTGCAAACTTGAAATTACAATACATTTTCATCACAAGACCAGGAAGATTTGAAGCAAAATCAAGAAATGAAATCTGTTATACTCAAAGGCACCAATCTTGAATCTCATTTAACCCTATAAAGATCTACTAAAATTATAATAATAATAATAATAATAATAATAATAAAACTTCATTCAAGAAAAAAAATGTGCTATTTATAAATGTAGCACTTAAAAAAAATAGACCCAAATTTTATCCTTCCCCAACGTAATAAATTGAATATTGAAGCACTTAAAAAAAAAAAACCATTGGTTTTCACAGCTGCTCTGTTTCCTTATCAATTGAAAAGCTAGGCCTTTGTCAAATCTTATAATAATTAAGTAAATAATATATTAGTATTTATAAGATATTAAAATTCGATAATAATAAAATTTAAATTTAATTTAATTATTATCAAATAAAATTTAAATTTGAATAATTTAATTTATCAATCGAGTTAAATTTAAATATTTTTATATTTAATTTAAATTATTTATGAATTTAATTTAATTATTATATTTTAATATATTTTAATTAAAAAATATATTAAATTTAAATATAAATATAAATAATTAAATTTTTATTAAATATAAAAATTAAATTTATTTTTACATGTTAATCGAACTTAATTTAAAAATTTTAAAAATTTAATTTTAACTTGAATCAAACTAAAATTAAAATAATAAAATTCAATTGAATTGAGTCAAATTTCAAAATTTTAATTTAAAATTAAATTTAAATTCAAATTTAATATAGTATCGTTTCAAACTATATCTATTACACCCTATCCTAAACGAAGAAACAGGGAGCACAGAAAGCAGAACAACAAAGAAGAAGTAAACAAGGGATGGATTACATAGGAATAGATCTTAACTGCGCAATTGGATCTCTCAAAAATGGTAATTTCCCTCCAAAGGACTATTTGCTTCCACTCATATCTAAGTTCCTCGGATACGCCATCGTCGCCGCTTCCACCACCGTCAAACTCCCTCAGGTCTCCCTCCCTCTCTTTCTTTACCAAACCCATATTTAATTGGCCTTTTGGGTTTTTTGAGTTCTTCTCTAATAAAAAAAATCATTATTTAATCTATCGACACTGATCCCAGAAGTTAAAGATCTCATTCCACGGTTTTTGATTGTTAAAATTATTGGGATCGTTTGGTTTCCTAGTAAAGCTATGAGTTTTAATGTAGAAATGAGATCAATTTATAAACTTCTTTGTAATTTCTCTACTGAGATCATTTAATGTCCATTCTTATAAATGATCTTTTCAACCATGTAATAATGCTTTTATTGTTGTAACCATTGCAGATATTAAAAATATTGAAACATAGAAGTATTAAAGGGCTTAGTATTGTTGCCTTTGAGCTTGAAGTAGTTGGTTATACCATTGCTTTGATATACTGCCTCCATAAAGGGCTACCCTTTTCAGCTTAGGGAGAGTTGGCATTTCTTTTGATCCAAGGTAAGTCTAGCAGGGTTTTTATTTTTATTTATTTTTTCTATGATTTTGCATGTTGCTGAGAAGTTCTTTCTTGTGTCGTATGAGAATCCTGGAAATCATACTGACCTCTCCAAAATTATATTGCAAGTAGAGTGCACGTGTATTTGTTTGACTGTCAACTATGTTTGATAATTGATATTGCCATTGATCCATGCTGGGGGAAATTGTTTGTCAGACTTGCCATGCGCTAGGCATCCGGATCTTGGAACTAAACTGTTTATAGGTTGGACCATAAGTAGGATTAAGAACAAGCATTCTGATGCAATCCTGAATTTTGGACTGAACCCAATTTATAAACATTTAGGCTAATGAAAGCTTGATTTCTTTTGTGTAATATGCATCTTCATAACTTACAATCACAAACCTGTTTTGTGTTTCCTTGCTCCTTTCCCCTTTCCTCTGTTGTATGGTGCATGTGCACAAATGCATGGTTCTATATGTGCATGCATGCGTGTGTAGTTGCGTGTTTAGTTGATAAATTAGAACTAGAATTGAGAGACTAATAAACTATGAATACATGGTAATCGAAACCAACCACTATAGTTTCCAGTACTGGTTAAGCTTTCTAGTTGTGAATATGATGCAAACTTTATATCTTTACAAAGCAAGTAACCTGTTCATCTTTTGGTTGGTTTATTTTTTTCCTTCATTCAGTTATTGGTTTACATTTTCAGAAACTGATACTGCATCCTTATATGTTTCACCTGATTTTTATTCTGTTACAGCACTAATCTTAGTTGCAATAATTTACTACTTTTCATGACCTGCCGGCATCTCAACATGGATCAGGGCACTACTGTATCCTGCTTGCTTTCTCTGTTGTAATTTCCCTTTTTCTTTCTGTTTTTTGCAGTTTCCTTTTGTAACTTTTTATTTGTAGGAATGAAAAACATATATATGTTTCCTTAATGTGATGGTCTTTCAGATATTGTGCTATAGCACCAACAGTCTTAGCTGGTCAAATTGATCCTATTGTTTTTGAAGCTCTATATGTGAGTAGAAACTTTCACTGCCCATACTTTGTGTGGAAAATATTGTTGAATGCATACTGGCTTGCACTCCTTGTTCCTTTACCTTGTATCTCTCGTCCACTTATGGTTATGTGGATAATATTACAAACAGATATCTGATTCCTAATATTCAGTAGCTTTTTTTTTTTCAATTAGAGAGCTTTTGTATCCAGAGTTATGGGATACAAGGCTTAGTTTGTTGTTGTTGTTGAGAGCTTTTGTATGCCTAACACAATTTTTACATGGAAATAACCTGCTACAGGCATCCCAGCATGCAATATTTTTCTTTGCCAGGGTGCCTTAAATATGGAACAACTTTTCTGTAATTATAACTCGAATTCCATATTGAATTTTTCATTCTATTCTTAAACTGTACAATTTTATAATTTATTAACCATTGGTTTTTGAAATTGCTACAGTTTCAGCAATTCTTTTATTAATTAAAGGGAAAGAAGTTGTAAACCTTTCTGAGATCTATATATTTTACAACCATCCATAGATCTGTATAAGGCTCTGATTCTTGTCATGCCTGTTATCACATGTCCATGCATGTGGGCTGTTATTTCATAATCCTTAAATGCTGTTAAAGCTATAACCTGTAAAAACTCATAGTTTCAAGCTGTGTTTTGCCTGCAAGTGATCTACTGCTGTTATGTTGAAAATGTAGTGTGTAGGATGGTGGGAAATCATCAATACTCCGTGCTTGTTGCATAGTTGCATCATCAGGTGGTAAATATTTTTTTCCTTTGGTAAAAGGAGAAGACAGCCTAGTTATTTTTACACCAATTAAAATAAAAAGGCTTCTTTTTTGGTAGATTCAGTTAACTTCTATAACTCAGTGGATCTATTTAGTAAATTGCTAATCTATTTAACTAGCTATATAACTAATTCCAGGTAAGTTTCCATGAAATGATAATGATTAATTCTGTTTGTTCTGCTTACTTTCTTATCAAATGTCCTTCTTTTGTGACTTTTTTATTTATATACAATCTATATATGCTTTTAGGTAATTCTCTAATGTTGTCAATGAATAATTATTTTTGAGCAGAACAAAAGCACTGGGGAGCTTAGCTTCTTAACATGCTTAATGAATTCCAGTGGCTCTCTTGGTAAGTTCATATTGTTAATGGAGCTACTGGAGTATCAATGTTGATACAGCCATAGAGGTAGTTTTATTATCTGCCAATAACGAGGTAGAAGCTAAGTTCATTGATGTTTTTCTCTTGCAGTGAGAGTATTTACCAGCATCCAGGAAAAAGCACCAACAAGTGGTATCCTTTATTATTGTATATATTTTCATATAGATTTATTTATTAAAAAATTTACACGTATTCTATTCTCTGTGTTTCTTTAGAATCTGTTTACTACCAAAGCATTTTCTCTACCTTTTTCTAGGAAAACATAAGATAGATTACAACACTTATAAAATTTCTTTACAATGTAAACTCATAACTACACATGCTACATTATGAAAAGCTGCATGTACACAGTTTTTCTCCGAGCCGTTCCTATTTCCCTTCTGTGCTATTATAAGTTATTATGGGCTCTGTACTCTGTATCCTGACAAATGGCACAATCCTGAGTCAAATCATCATATATCAAAAGCCACAAATCCAGAAGGAGAAGAAAGTAAAGTAAAAGGATTACCATGTTATAGTTAGACTATGGTTCAGTAGCAAGGTTCAGATGCCGCAGTCAGTGAGCAGAGTCTTGCAAGGGCAAGCTATTTATCCCTCCATTTTGTGACCATTGGATCTATTGAATTTTCCATTGATGTTACCAAGCATACAATAGCTATCAACACATAGTTGATACTATGAATTCGATAGTCTTGAAGACCATGCATTTTAGATTTTAGTGAAATCAATGAACATAGATCTTTTATTAAAATAAAAAATAAGATTTATTATCTTTAATCTGCTTCTCTTTGTGCTTCATTCGGCTTATACGAATCATGTTGCATTTAGGCTTGGTCCTGTTTGGCATTCATTTATATTGAATTATTGAGGAATATGGTCCTGAGTCTGCCTTCAAGTTTTATGCGTTGATCTCTAAGAACATCCAAAAGTAATATCTTTTTATCTTTTGCTCTTTCCAAAAATATGTAACTTGGATTTAAGTAAATAGTACATTTATGTTATATTCTTCACTCCTCTCGGGTCAGATCTTATATTGCATTGCATCAAGTCCTGCACATACATTTCCTTGTACTCAAATGTTTTTGGCAGTAAAGGTTGTAGTCAATGAATAAACCACAACGAGTCAATCTTTTAGGATGTAATTTAGAATTTTATGAATTGAAGACTTGTGAGCAGTTCACCATGAAATCTTCATTGTTGGTCCCGATGCCTGTGTCTGTTCGTTAACGATCAACTATACAGTCTACAATGGCTTTTTCTTACTCTTTCATCTTTTTTCAGGATTCTAAAAAACAAAGATATTGATGGTTCACTGCGGCCCAAGCTTTCCAGCCTCGCTAGATAATATGCCTGAAGCCATGGTTTTTCAGCTTGCAAGAGTTAGCATCCGAATGTCTTGTTACGAACAGAACAAAACCCAAGTGCCGGTTCCAAGGGATAGAAAGCATTTCTATCAGCTGAAGGATATTTGCTGGCTCAGATCCAGTCTAACCCACAGACATGAAAAAGTAGAAAAAGTAAGGAGAAAAGCGTACATAATTCATTAGAAAGAAAATTGATTAGACTAGCTACCAATTGAGGTGAAAAAATGAAAGCGTGAAAGGCAGGCAATGGTAGAAGCAAGCGTGAATTCTGTGATTAGATAAAGATAACGCCTTTAAAAATGTTTGGAATTGGACAATGGCCTCGAAATTTCCATCAAATTGCACTATTCTATTTCCAAATATCATTATCATTCAACCCAAACATTAAAATATCACAATGTCAAGTTTAGAAAAATTAGCACCAAGCATTGCAAATGTGAAAGTTTTACTATTGTAATGGACCAATTGCTTTCAAAAGCAAAAGCACAAATCTCAAGCATTTCAGGGAAGTCTCGAATTTAATTTCAGAGGTGGGAATGTGAGAGTTGACAAAAGACTTTCACCACCAAGGGGCTCCAATTGAAGAAAACTGGCCGTCAATCCTGACTGGCAAGTTTTGAATTTTGTTTGTTTTTACTGATACATATAAATTAAAAAAATTAACAAATCAAAGATTTAGAATGCACCAGCAAAATCTCCATAGGTTTCAGAAATTCCAACCCAATCTATGTTTATGGATAGTTCAACATTGGAAATCCATAACAAAATCAAAACTCAATTCTGACTCGGATTCAGACGAATGCCAAGTTTCTATTGACAACACATCAACACTTACAAGCAATATATTACATGCTTAACTAAAGGATGTATATAACATGTAAAACAGCTTAGCACACATGCACTCAGAGATTCATATACCCTTAAAGATATGTAATTAGTTTGCAACTGAATACATCATGTTATTACCTGCTGCAATGTTAAGGATAATCTATACCATCCCTTGGTGAAAACCAACTTTCCTGGCAATACTAAAACACCATTCACAAAACAAGCTAGTGATCAGGCAAAATGTTAAAGTAACATACTAATAATAACTAAGCAAAACAAATGGATGACTTAGTTAAATGTACCTCACTTTCGGTTGTGTAGATAAAGGAGCACCATGTAAAGAGTTGCAGTCAGTTGCGAGGCAATCATCCAATCAGTTTGTCCAAAAATCATTGCCCTCCCACCTGATTCAATTGGAACTTTCTGATAGCATCTGAATAATATACCTAATTTCATTTTTCACATTGATCTTGATTTTTTTTTTTTTTTGCTGTACCTCGTCAGATAACAATATAAAATGATATCCCAAACAAGTTGATAATCATTGCAATACATCCAGGCTAGATTTATAAGAGCACAGCCAAAACCAGAAATTGTCAAAAATTTCAGAAACCTGTGCCTCTGTAATAATTAAGAGAACATTGAAAAATGCTACTATCTAGACAAACATTAAGATGATGCAAATGTAATATGATAACAGTTCCTCACTTTTAACTACTTATCCATATGCATATACTTACATGTGAGATGAAATTAATTAACCCCCCAATTAGGTGTTAGATAATAAGTGAATGAGTAAAGTTAACTACATGCTAGCTAACTTTCCGTTTTCAAAGCAAAAAATGAGATGACACGTGACAGCATATAATGTCTCACAATGAATTTCCTAATGCAGTTTCCAACCAATAAAATCACTTAATATCGCATATCAGTAAGTCATGGTAAAATAAAATCAACCAGAAGCATCACAAACCATTAAAAAATGGCTTGGAAAACAACAAAGCAATAACTAATAATAATTCAAATAGAGATTAAAAAAAAAATAGTTCATAAGAGAATTTACTAATGTCATGCAACAGTAGCATTCATAATATCTACCTATCAAACCTTTTCTCATCAAACCAAAAATAACATAAAAGAACTACACTTTCCAAAGAATCAAAATGTTCATGTTTCAAACTCAGTTTTCACTTGCATAGAAATGCAAATTGCAAATCAAAAGGTCTAATTTGGTTCGAGGTTCTAACTCCTGACCTGTACCTTTGATCATGTTTGAAACAATTCAGCAACAGACAATAGACATATCTGTATTCAATTGACATATAAATTGACCATAAAGCAGAAAACTTCTATCATTATTTTACTGATATTCAACAATTTGATGCTGAAAATCATGAAGTCAAGTAGTTTAAATACAAATACACCTATCTAATGAGCTTTGTAACATACTCAATAATGCATTAGGGTGCTGCTTTTTCAAATTCCATACAGGATAATTATATTTGTGACCAAAAAATAAAAAAGGTAGCTAAATAAAGAAACTCATAGCAAAAAGCTAAGACTCAACAGAAATATGGGAAAATAAAAGAGAAACTATCACTTTTGAAGATGTAGATTCAATTCAAAAGGCAATCAACAGCACACAGCATTGAATTAAATACTTAAACAAGGGAATCGGATACCATAACACAAAATAAAGTATATAGTTAAAGATCAAGAGTGCTTTTTTTCCCTCTCTTTTTACATTGCAACTTCGCCTCCTCCAATCCATATTAACTGCGAGAACTACCACTACTACTTGCCAACCTCCTCAAAGTGCTAGCCACAAAACTCCTCCCACTCAAAAGCCCTAACAACTTAAATGATGTTGATCGACCCGTGCTGCTCGAAGCAATAGTAGGAGCTCCAATTTGACCAGCCACCCCCGGCGGAAATTCAACTCCATTATCTTGTGCCCCACCATCACTGGCACTTGCATCTAAATGTTCCCCTGTATCCAAATAAACCGCAAGTGATCCTCTAATTGCTCTTAACCAATCAGCCCCCTCCGAAGTTACTCCTCTACATTTCTTCAGTTTCACTTTAACCAAATTCGGGCAACCACTAGCAAGCGCTTCCATTCCATGATCTGAAACAGGGCAACTCTTAATACAAAGCTTCTTTAAAGCTATACATTTCACAGCAATACATGAAATCTCCGCATCACCAACCGTATCACTACCGCATAAAGCTAACCGTTCCAAATTCTGACAATTCGAAGCTAACATTTCCAAACTCAGTTTCGTCGGATTAACACTAATAAGAACTAACTCTTGTAAATTAGGGCAAGATAGGGCAACAGCGATTAATCCTTGGTCACCTATTCGATTCGCTTTCCATCCATCAATGTGAAGCTTCCTTAACAATTTACATTTCTCAGCAACAGCTCCGAGTCCGAAGTTGGTACACTCAGGAGTCTTAACGAGGTGAAGAATTTCTAGATTTAAACAGTTGGCTATGGCCGCGAGACCGACATCACTGACTTGGATCCGCTCCATATGGATCTCTACCATACCCGTGACCCGGTCCACTATAAGAGGGAAAATCTTATCCCAATCACCAGAGCATCTAAAAAGTTTTAAAGATTTCAGATTCTTTGCACCAATAATAAGCGGACCAAAGCACTGTCCATTGTAAAGCTCTTTTAAGGAAATCGTTTTCAACGCCTTCGCCGCCACCCCTGGCCCTATCGGCTCCACTGCAAGCCCGTCGGTGAGGCCCCGAAGTCGTTTCACGGAGAGTTCCTCAAGAGCTGGACAGTTGTCGAGCACTGCGTTCATGCCTTTTGCTCCAAAAGTGCAAGATCCACAAGAGAGCTTCTTTAGACCCCTGCAGTTTTTAGCGAAAGCCGACATGCCTGTATCGGTCAATTCACGGCAAGCCCGGAGCTTAAGGCGAGTCAAGTTCCGGCAACGCTCGGAGATTTGAACAAGCGCTTCGTCGCCGATGCTAACAGATCTACGGTCACATTTCAGAGCCAGTTTCGTGACAGCGTCGAAGCGAGAGAATATTGAAGGAATCAGAGGGTGCAGATCTGATTGAGCGTTGAGGGAGAGTCGATGACGGCTCTGTCCTTCAATCCTCAACCACCGCCAGCAAACAAGAGAGCATTTTTTCCTGTCACCGGGACTAAGACACTGAAAAATGAAAGCCAAACACTCGTCGGGTAGATCCGAGATAAAATCCGATAATCCATTTATGTTTCTTCGGTCAAGCTCTTCAGCTTCCTCAACTTGCATCGGGCAGATTATGGCCGTTGATTTCGATTTTGACCGTTGGCTATGGTTACAATCTCGACGGCTAGTGAGTTTCGCCGTCGAAAATGACTGGCCCATCCACGACCACTAACTAAATCTATAAAAAAAAGAAAAAAAAAACAGCCACAGGGTTATTATCCTGGGCGAAACCGCGGAGGAATACTTAAGGAAAGGTTTAACTGAGTAGCATGTTTACACGGCCGTCTTCTTCTGTTTTGTTTGTGTTGGAAATTTGCAGACGACGGACTTCAAAATCGGATTTCAATTTGGCTTTTTTGAACTTTGTTTGCTTTCGTCTTTCATTTTGAACAAAAGTCTTCGGTCTTTCTCATGTTTTTATACTCCGTTCCCGTCCTCATAATACTTTTCTTGAGCCCACCCCCGATTTCCGTTGTTTCTGGAGTCAAAGTCAAAGAAAATGAAAATTAAAATGGGTAAAAATAAATTGGGAGACGAGTTGCGCACAGAGGATGGTTTCTTCTCATATTATTATGTTTAATTTTGTTCTCTTAATTTAAGTCGGTCCCACCTGGCCCACATCCTTAAAACGTCGCCGCTTCGAATCGATCCCTTCCAAAAAAAAGCGACCAGTGTAGCGATCCTCAGTTCCTCGACAACACTTCACTCGCAAAAGCTTGGTGGTTTTTTCTCCTCCGGCTTCGACTGCAACGGTACGACCGTCTCGCCTCCGGACTCCTATCGGCTCCAGGGCGTCCTTGGTGCGCCGCCGCAGATTCGGCTGGGCTCGAAGAGGAGGCATCCTCTGCGGAGAAGAGTAGTGCGGTTCTGAGCGTAAGGGACCCACCAAAGTACCATAGGTGGGATGATCCTGATTACAGGAAATGGAAGGAAAAGGAGGAAGAAATTCTTCAAGACATCGAGCCTATCATTTCGCTTACTAAAGAGATTCTTCACTCTGATCTGTCAGTCTCGTAGCCCTATTCCTTTTACTATACTATTTATTTAGGCTCCATTTACGTAATGTTTTTGAGAATTAGATTATACATTTAAATAGTTACTATTATAATTTGATTTATGTACGGAACAATATGTTTAAATAAAACAAAAAGCAAGTAATAAAAAAATTTTGAATTTCTAAAGTCCTAAAGTGGAGTGTAGTTCCATATCCATGTCAGTATTAAACTTGAATTTCCAAAAAAGTTAGATCATGCGATTTTCGGATTCTTCGATTCTTGATCGTGATAATTCAAATATGTTATCTATGTTTGTTGATTTAGTCCTTTGTCACTGACTGGGAGTTCCAAATATTGAGTTCTGGCATTGTTCAAAGGCTTTTAGGTTAGGATTGCATCATTAACTCATGTTAGTCTAGAGAAGATAACATATTGCACTTTAAGTTGAAAGGTTTTTACTAGTATCGAATGTTGGACTTCTGACTTCTGAGTCCTTTGCTGGTATGAGAGGAATGAGAAGCCACATTTTTACTTTTGCATGATCAAGAACGTCATGGTTGCACTGCTGTTTCTTTCCTTTCCAATTACTAAAAGAACTTGTTTAATCTTGTGTGATAAAATCTTTTAATGCTTTCAAAATATGCTCTTTTATTGCTTCAATGAAAATTATGCTTCTTGATCATATTTAAAAGAAATTGTTTTAGTAGGAATGTGGAGTCTATTTGTGTCACTAAAATAGCACTTTAATGTTGCCTCGTCATCTTGTATGTCCCTTCAAAACTCTGACAATAAGTTCCCATCAGTATCCCACATTATTTTCTGTTTTCAAGGACAGAAGATGATGAAAGCAGAATGGGGACATGGTATTGGTTGGATATAGAGGCATTATGTCAAATTTTGTATTTATGAATTTCCATCATTGTTAATTGCTCATGTGTATGTTAAACACAAAAATAGAAATAGGGGATACATGGAATTCCTCTATTTACTCAAATTAGTAATAGAGAGAAAGAACAACATAAAAAGAAATAAAAGAGTTGTGGTTTTCTTACCAATTTGCTAGAACTGAGTGGATAGACTGGAGGAGCAGATATTTTACATCTTGCGACAAATTCGAAACCAAGTAAATAAGCAACAATAGAACTCTCTAAATGTACTTCTAGTTAAAATTTCAATGTGTTGCTGACTCTTAAGAAAGGAAAATGTTGCTATCTATGTTATCCATCTCCTGTGGTTCTAGTGAAAAATATTTTCCACAATAGTCAGCTAGCTATGTTTTTTTTAAATTACTAATAAAATTAAGTTTCGATCATAGAACCTGTGATTTACACCACTGATAGAGAATCAAGCTAACAGAAAATTTTTGAGATACTTTTTTTTTTTTTAAAATGTATCAGCTAATATGTTGAGTCAATCATCTTGGCAGTGCAACAATGTTAAGTTTTAGTCAACTTCGTCATTATGATTCTTCCTTCTATTTATTTTCCTAAAGTTAGGTATATGGATGGGGAACATTTAACTGTTGCAGACGAGGAAGCTGCGGTAGAGAAGCTTCTTTGTCATCATCCACGTTCTGGAGACAAAATTGGATGTGGACTTGATTCTATTATGGTGAGTTTCTGTTGGGCATTATCTTTTATGGGGTTTTTCAGTGTTTTGATTGAATTGCTATAGAATCCAACATGTGTTCTGGGTTAACTTCACAGTGTTTCCATAGTCAGTTTGCTTTGAAGGCCAATATCGAGGCTGCATATTTGAAGAATATCTACTATAAACTTAAAAGAGCAAAGTTGAGTGTTTTGTATGTCCTACCAAAATTTTTCTCCTACCTGCATTTGCTATAAATTTACTCATATGACTAAATCATGTGCAAATATAAGCAATCTTTTCTGTTCCTTGCTGTCAATTGTTGTTTTCTACTTTGAGTCTCATTGATCCGTCAATGATCTTGTTTCGCTTAATCCTTTTTTTTAAATTGGTGCAACATCTGACAAATTGTGTGATGTATGTGGAGAACTTGACTTTTTACGTGATGCATTTGATTCTACCATTTTTTGGGTCTGAGTAATCTCAAATAAATTATGAGATTTTTGTTTGGTAAGCCTTGGTTTAGAAGAATAAATTACCACTAAATGTAAAGTCATATTCTGATTTTCAAACACTGTTGTATCTTGTTTTGGACCTGAGTTATCTCAAATAAGTTATGAAATTTTTTGTTTGGTTAGCCTTGATTTGGAAGAATAAATTCCCACTAAATGTAAAGTACTGCTCTGAGTTTCAAACATGGTTCTACCGTGTTCTGGGCCTGAGTTTCATTTGCTATGAATTCATTATTATTTGTTCCTTAGTTCGTGCTGATATGATCTCCAGTTCTCTCCTATGTGACGCAGCCTTTTTGTGCTTGTCCTAAATTTTTTTTCTTAACACTTTATATAGTTTTAGTCTGATTCTTATCTCAAGATTTGTAATTTGCTCACCTAAATTTTCATTTAAAAATTTCATTTTCCTCTTTTCTTTATTCTTGTGGTGTTAAAGTCTTCCTAAAGATGCATGTATGCATGTCTCTGTTTGTGTTTTGTATGCAATTGTTGGCACATAGATCAACAGGTGGAACCTTTTGACTGAGGCCATTCTTTTCTCTATTATTGTGACCTAAAATTTGCTTTTTTTTCCGTATTTTAATCTGCCTGCTAATTAGGTTTTTCTTACCGATGAGGGTGAATACTGTTTTATTATCCAGTAGCTATTGTGGTTGGACGCAACTAAGCTAGCAGCGTGGCCTTCCATATGTAGATCATTATATTTTCTATGCATGTTTTTGGCATAAACTTGTATTTTCTTTTTAGAACAAGCTAATATTGTGCTTAATCTCCTTATTTGAAGGTTGATCGACATCCTCAATTTAGACACTCGAGGTGTCTCTTTGTTGTTAGAACTGATGGTGGATGGATAGATTTCTCATACCAAAAGTGTCTCCTAGCATATATTCAAGATAAGTACCCATCCTTTGCAGAAAGATTTATTAGAGAACATTTTAAACGTGGTAGTAGTGGCTAAAATGTGAAAACTTAATGGTAATATCAGTGTTCAACTACGATTTTGGTGTCACTGGAGATGTTTAAATAATTCTTTTTGGAAGAGAGATTGTCAATTTGTGGCAGTGACCTATATATAGCCTTGATCTATAATTGTCAATGTAGTAGATGATTCTTGACTGGCGCTTCACGTTTGTTATAAATGAGGACAAAGAAAATGATTGAATTGAATCTCACTTTGTTGACTTGTATCTATCTCCTTTGTTGGTGGCTTTGTGCATGGTTGTTATGGTTTAGGAACAAGCTTTTTCTTGAGGTCCTCAGGTCGGAGCTTTAATATCAAGTTACTAGGATTTTCAAGGCACCTTTATTATAGGTCCGGAACTTGTCTTCAGAGCTTGTTAGACAACAAAATGATTTAATTGCTCTCCAAGAACTTTCTGGTCTCTTGAAGCTTAAACACCTAGGTCCTAGAGTACATGTTAGGAGAAAAGGAGTGTGAACATGCATGAGAATTACACAGTTCTGCCCACAGTTATATCTGATATTCAAAATGCCATAATAGCAGTCAACACTTAACGCGCATAGTTGATCATAGCCTATTAGAAAATTGCTTCAATAATCCTGCAATTTTTTGTGCTGATGAGAATACAACAAGAAGAACCAACTTCTCCATCTTTGGAGGTTAAGGAATCATGAATTTGTTTCGACTTTCACCATATGATCTAGCAATTCTTTCCTTTTATGAGTCACGTCAAATGGTAACAAATGGTATACGGTGCACAATACATTTGGCGTAAAAGAAGGGATAGTTGAAACCCAGTGCACCACCTCAGTGGTGGTGGATAAATGGACTGTGTGTTGGACCACTGAGCGCAAGTGGGCTTGACCAAGGTGTCTTCCACCTTCCTACAATGTAATAATTTAGAAGTTTGGTCTTTCTTACTGGTGATGATGGCACATCCACCAAAAATTCTTTAGTGGTTGAAGGCTTGAAACTGGATTTATGCCAGTCAAAGCAGTCAAGGTCGGTTTGTCCATTGTTATTAGTCAAAATGGTAGATAAGTCTATTGGCCTACTCTGAATATTTGTCTGCATGAATGTGGTCATTTTAGAAGATAAATAGGCATTTTTTTCTTTATGTAGGTGTTTTGAGTGGTCAAATCAGGCATTGTTGAAACAAGAATATAAAATCCCTCAAGTCAAGTATAGCATGTGTTATAGCTTTTGAAGGAGCTGAGGTTTTTTATATAGAAAAATATACTAGTATTTTGTTCAATGGTCTCATGTCTCAAGCTGCTTTTCGGGTTGATACTTAACTAGTTATGCATTTGTAGATCAGTCTTGGAAGGAACTGAGATCCAACCTCTTTTAACTGGAACTGGGTCCTAATCAGTTATATGATTCTAGAATCAGTCCATTGAAACGAGGCTGCTTCGAATCCTCTGCCTAACAAAACTGGAAAATTAGTTTAAGGTTCTCAATTTCGTATTGGAAGGTGACTGATTTTTTTTTTTTTTGGTTTCAAAGGAGGAGGGGGGCAAAATCCTATTGCAAGAGAGAGAGGCTTGGTTCGAAACTAAGCCTTTTATGTCTTTCTAATGGCATCTATGGCCACTAGACCACAAAGTGGAAGACTCTAAATAAATCTGCCATAGATTCCCATTGATGGCTTATCTCATCAAGCTATGCATGTTTTGGACCTTTAAAGCCTATGAGACTCTAAATGAAAAGAGATTGGGATTTCTTGATTGGCTTTGCTGCAATGCCCTCCGTAGAAAACGACCTTTTTATAAGGTTGATCATCAAATTGTGTTGATTGACCAATAATCCAATTTAGAAAAAGAATAAGGGAGATCATGAGAAATACAAATTTAGACGCACGCTGTTGAACTTCTACTGATTGTAAATGTACAGTCGTTTTAGTCAAGTTCTCAATAACTTGAGAGTTGTAGCTAATTGCCATTTTGCTGATAAGAAACGTAATATGTCGTTGGCGTGGGAAACCACAGTTTTCTTTTACATATTGTTACATAAGACCATTGTTTGCCGCTTGGTTTCTAATATCGGTTGAAAATGCAAGAGCATGATCAAATCAAATACTAATATCGATTTAGGAATTTGTTTTCTTGATTTATTATAATAACTAGCAGTAAGTGGTGAGTGGTTGGCTGGCAAGAAAGTTTGTTATCATGATATCAACACTAAAATGATCAAAGGAGCGGCATATCTTTGGCAATGGAGGTCAATTCTTGCAACCAAAAAACGTTTCCGCCTCTTTGGACTTGGAGTTACCAATTAGTCAATTACCATGAATAATCAAAAGCTTGTGCATGCTAAGCCGTGAATCATGATTATGGGACAAGCATGATGATTAGACTCAGACTACCCTGTGGGCTGTGGGTGGACCCCCAGAGAACTGAGAGGTCCACCACACAGCTGGAATGAAGAAAATCCATGTGGGCCCTTGCTCCCGATTATGGTGGTTTCATGGTACAAATGGGAGCGCAATAATTTGCTGAACACTCAAGGAAGGTGATCGAAGAAAGTGTCTTGTTTCTTTTCTGTTAAAGAGCCATGAATTTTGTGATCCTCAGCCCTGCTCCTATCAGCTGGCCTGGCCTTTAACAGTATGGTTGAGTCTAGTGATGCATAGGTCTAAGGGTGCAAGCTAATTGGTTCATGAGTTCCAATAAAGGGGGGACTTTCCTTTCTGTTGTGTTTGATTTGAAATGGAGGAAAGAAACGAGCCATACTCTCTGAATTCTGAGTGTGGGCATGTCCGACTTTGACCACGCTGGTGAAAATGGAACGATTAAATTGATGCATCACTCTGTTTTCCTTTCTAGGAAACCTGAGTAAAAATAAGAAGAAAAAAAAAAGAGACAACAAATTCGAGATGATCATCTAAAAAGGAAAACAGAAGAGGAGATTGTTGTCAACAGAGGACAACACACTATAAATATAAATATAAATACTACTGCTACATAACATAAAAGTGGTGAGTATTGGCAATAACACCATTTGCTCAGTTTTATGGGTAACCAACGCAACCAGCCGTATCTAACCCGCCTTTCCATCCTCTGTTGATTTCTGTCTCACTCTCACCTGCTCGCACTAGCCCACTCCCATCCTTTTTTTTTCTTGATGTCCTCTCAATAGCTTCATTTCTTGGGGATCGAGCCCTTTTAAAGAAGGATGTTGGAGTAAGAGAAAAGCAAAGAAAAGAAAGCAACGTATCAGGGTGTAGACCCCTGCGCGCGTCGTCTCCAAGTTTAAACAATAACACCTACCCCAATGATTTCCATAGAATGAGAAACGGGAACAGGCATTTTCGTTTATCCCATGGCTAGAAACGAAGAATTTTTGAGAATCCTGTAGACAGAATCGCAACAGGGTTCTCTCTCTACAACACCAGTTTGCGCATAAAAAAACAGGAATTGAGTTGTCCTGCCTCTAGAGCAGTAAATTACACAGGGAGCCGCTTTTATATTTTCATTTCTTTCATGTGATCCTTTCGATATTTCTTTAAATCTGAAAAAAAAAAACAAAAGAAATGTAAAAGAATACCTAAATATAATGGCAGTGGCCTCCTAATGTGCTTTTGGACGTTGGCATTGAATTCCTGAGTCCAAAAGAAGTGTGCTAGTAGTAGATTAGAGTCCAGAGGCATACAATGCTTTTGTTACTTTTCGTTGAGACTCTTTTATCCATTTAGTAAAAGGATGGGATTCATATCACATGTAACGTTAAACAGAGCATTGTCTTCGGCTTCTTCTTGGCTCACTGGTTAAAAAGCTTAATAACATATATAAGATGTAATTCGAATCCAAGACCTTTCACACTCCGATGAAAAGAATGGTTTTTTACTTATAAAAAACTTGTTTTTTTGACAGTTTTCTTCCATTTTGATAAAATGGACCAAAGGGCAGTCTGGGTTGTATTCAAATTTAACATTAACAGAGTAATAAAGCTTATAACATTGTATCCTCACCGGATGTTCACTGGTACTTTGAGCTAGCCAAGGAAAAACAGTCGGATGGGTGAAAAGAGTGACCAAACAGTAGAAACTTCGTAATTGTGACTAATGTTGACAGTTTTTTTATGGCTATTTTCTTCTCCTGGTTTAAAATGATGATATGAAGTTAAAATTATACTCACATGTAACACCAGAAACGTGGAAATTAGATATTTTGGTATCCACCAGACTACATCTACCAGTTTGAAGAATGTCGACTGTTGAAGTACAGCACTTATCATCTAAATTGTAATGTATTAGAGTACTTTTAAAACAAAAGATTTCAAGTAAAATCTAGGTTTGATACTCAAATAAACCCTCCAATTTTATTTTAAAATACAAATAAGCTATCAATTTTTTATTGCATTAAATTAAGACAACAAATTTTTTTTTTTTTGTAATTCTATTCATTAAATCTTAAAATTAGAACAATAATGTTTAATTGATAGAATTTTTAAAATAATATTCTCTTAATATTTATCATTTAACTCATGCAAATGAATTTAAGTAAACATTTTTTACAAATTAAATTATCTAATTAAAATTTTTAAATAAAAAATTAAATATTTTATATGGTCAATGTTCTAGTTATAATAAAATAGAAATTTATAGTTTTAATTTCTTGCAATAAAAAATTGAGGATTTATTTATATTTTAGAGAAAATTTTGAGGGTTTATTTGGGAATTAGACCTAAAATTTATCCCTCTAACTATCAGGGAAAACAAAAAATAATGTTTTATGAATGAACATGCAGATGTTCCATTGTATTTGGAGTGTTGAATAAATGAAAAAGCATATGTATCATTTTTTTTATAATTATTCTCTTGACATGAATAATGGCCTCCATCATCATCATCAGGATTCACATTAATTGAATCTTCTGGCTCTCTCCTACCCGTATTTCTCTGTATAGCAAATTTCTCTTTATATTTAAGGCTATGGTGGCCGCATTTATAAGCACAACAAAGGAACAGATATGGACATGTATTGGGTAAAAACAGGAGAGAAATTACATTCATATGTCAGAATTCAGAAGCTTGTAAAGTGTAAATAAATCGTTGAAGAACCTAAGATATGTAGCCAATGAAAAAAAATTCAGTGGATCAGTGGCCTGGAACCCGTCATTGAACCTTTGGAATAGGGAAGTTATTTGTTTTTCTGATAGAATTTGTTTCTCCCCAGATGTCAATTTCAATGAATTTTCTTCTGCAGCACAAAAACAGTGTGACAGCCTTTTGCCATGGAAACCATAATAAATGATATTCCTCTATCTTCCCTAGAGCAATTAAAAAAAAAGAATAAAAGTAAAATTTACTACTGCTCCTGATGGTTCATAAGTCATATCCCTTGTGGATGTAAACCAGTGAGAGTTCCAAAACACGAATGAAATCCAGCTCATCATAAAGATTTCCAATAACTCAGTCAGTAAACTATTATGCTTTTATTGAGTACTTAATCCTTGAGGTGAAAAAGCTCTCATCAGTTCTTTTGCTTTCTGCTTCAGATGTTATTTTCATGTCTTGGGTTCTTTTGCCATCTTTCCCTTTTCCATCATTCACCCCTTTCTTCTTTCTCAAATATAATATCAAAAAACTGAAACTCCTTATACTGCATTTTACAAAAATAAGTTACTAAAAAGCAAAATATTTCAAAGTGCTTTTGTTCGAATATTTTGACTCAATAATTAAATTAATATATTCGTTTTTTTAACTTGAAAATCTGAATTTCAGTCACCCTTCTCAATAGATAAAAGAGAAAAACAATAACTATCCTGTGGCCAATTCACAGCTGTATACAAAGGCACTGCACAGCACAATACGAATTCTGATGCATGGCTGATATCAGAATTCAGAAGGGAAAAGGAAAAAGAAGATCCATTGGTAGGGGTGGAATTGTTAAATGGCGTCCAGAGAGACAAGGTACAAAATGTCACGTGTCCAGTAAGTGTGTTGCATGGCCCATGATTCAGGTTTGGTTCAATAGACACGAGACTTCCCCTGGTTAAAAAAAAAAATCCCCCCTAAAAGTTACTAGAATTATTCCTTGTTGGCTGCAGCAGAGCAAACGCACATAATCCTTTGGCTACTGGCTGTTAGTAGTTTATAGTAGAAAGAAGATTTATATGTATTTTAAATAAATAAAATTATTTATGTTGTTTAAGTAATTGAATTTAATGTTGGAATAAATCAAGTTATTTAAGTTCGTTAAGAATTTTTTAATGAATCAAATAATTTAAAAAGCAAAAAATTGAGGATTTGGGTTTATTTTAAATAAGTATGTTTAAATAAAAAAATATAATTATTTAAATAATTTTATTTAAATAAAAAATATAATTATTCGTATCTTCATGACTTTTTTAATAAAAATTTTATAACTATTCATTTATTATAAATAAATGTTTATACTTTCTAATTTCATTAACTCTACTAATTTCATTAATTCTATTAAAAAATTTTAAAATTTTAGTATATCTTACAGATATAATTACCATTAAGATATATTCTATACCCCTCAATACCACATTTCTTTCTTTCCTATTATTTCTATTTTATCAAATTTTCTAGCACTGGTCCCTTCCTCCAATCCATTATTCTTTCAGAGAGAGAGAGAGAGAGATGCCTCAAGCTTAGTCTTTTGGCCTCTCTTTCTTTATGTTCTTCTCTGTTCTATGATGTAAACAAGATCTGAAAAACTATTCTTTGGTGGATAAAAATGGCTTTGAATTATCAAGACTCAACATTTATTTCTCTTTATTGTTCAGAAGATAATTGGGAGGAAGAAGTCAGAGAAGACTACTTTGTAGAAGTAGAAGAAGAAAGTTGTTATAATAATGGGATTAATAAATCAAACCCTTTTCCAATCTTGTTAGAACAAGACTTATTCTGGGGAGATGATGAATTGTCTTCTTTGCTCTTAAAGGAAGAGAAAAATCAACTTTACGATAGTCTTCAAACCAATGCGAATCTAGCAGGGGTTCGCCATGAAGCTGTGGTATGGATGTTAAAAGTCAATGCTCACTATTCCTTCTCTGCTCTCACTGCGGTTCTTGCTGTCAACTATCTTGATAGATTCTTGTTTAGCTTCGGGTTCCAAGGTGAGAAGCCATGGATGACTCAACTAGTTGCTGTAGCTTGTCTTTCTCTTGCAGCCAAAGTGGAAGAAACCCAAGTGCCTCTCCTACTGGACTTACAAGTATGTTACTCTGTTATCTAAGTTTGCTGTAGTCTTGTTTATTTCTCATATTCGGCTTATCGATTTTGTGTTTTTGTTGATCTGTTTAGGTGGAGGAGAGCAGGTATGTGTTTGAGGCCAAAACTATCCAAAGCATGGAGATTTTGGTACTCTCCACCCTTCAATGGAAGATGAATCCTGTAACCCCACTTTCATTTCTTGATTACATTGCAAGGAGGCTTGGACTAAAGGACCATCTTTGTTGTGAATTTCTTAGGAGATGTGACCGCTTTCTGTTCTCTGTCATTTCAGGTTCGCACCAAAACAAAAGCCTTTCCTGTATGTATCAAATTATTATTAATTGGACTTGAATTGGATACTCTGAAATCTGTATAGAAGAAATAAGATCAATTCTATTGTTGTTTCTGTATTCTCAAATTCTCATATGTTTCTCAATTCCTGTTAAATTCATTGGCAGATTCTAGGTTTATGTGCTTCCTTCCTTCCATAACGGCCACCGCTACAATGCTGCACGTTTTGGATAGTGTAGAACCTAATCTTAGAGTAGAATACCAAAACCAGCTTTTAGGCATCCTGGGAATTGACAAGGTATTATTTATCTTCATTTTCTTTGTTATGACGAATTCTAATTCTCTAGCTTTCGCCAATGTTAAATGTACAAGTTTCATCCTGGTTCTTAAATCTGGATTCATCTTTCGAACAGGACAAGGTAGATGAATGCTGTAAGTTGATAACAGAATTGGCAACAACAAGAGTTGAAGGCAACCAATCAAAGAAGCGCCGGTTTAGCTCCATTCCAGGAAGCCCAAATGACGTAATGGATGCGTCTTTTAGTTCTGATAGCGTAAACGATTTCTGGCCAGTTGCATCATCTCTTTCTTCCTCACCTGAGCCACTATCCAAGAAGAACAGAACTCAACAAGACCAGCTTCTGCAAAGGCTAAACCATTCTCCTTCGGACTTTCTCAGCATTCCTCGCTAAATTCCCTTTTCAATTCCTCTATTTGTCTTTGTAATAATATTGCTTTTCTTTTTTATGATGAAAGTTAAATTGCTTACCATCTTCGCATTTTCCAACCAAGACCCCAACTTAGACGGATCTTCAGTTTCTGATTCTTAATCGTCTCTTTAGGTTGATTGGTGTGGAAATTTGGAAGCAGAGATGGTTTGCATTTTATCCGGAAAAAGTAAAAAACAAATATGAACATAGCAATGCAGAGTCCTTGCATTAATGATTTGGCCTTTTTGTTTTATGAACATAATGTTAATTTCTGTAGTTCATTATAAATTTTTTAAAAAATCACATTTATAATAGACTATGTCGTCTGGCGAAATCAAAGGGGTCGAGTGGAGAGCAGAAGCCAAAGAGCGGAAGAATTGAAAGTATACATAAGAAGAGTTTTTGTTTGCATGTGAAGGGAGGAACATGTCGTCGGCCACTGGCAATTTTTGGAGTAAATTTTGTGACTATAATTTTGGGGTTTGACCTCCTTGGAAGAGCTCATTTTCATTTGAAACTTAGACCTGGTGACCACTTGACCGAGGCAGGACCGCAGGAGTGAGCCAACAGCTGTAAGACATAAAACACCGTCCATTCTGATATTCTGTAAAACACCCTCAGCCATGAATTTTAATATCCTTTTCCATTTCCTTTCCTGGGTTCATGATCAAGACTATAACTATTGCATTGAAAAAGTAACAATAAGCTTCTCCTAGTTTGCAATGGAGTAGAATTGTAGAAGCTAGAAAGTCTGAAGCCCTTGCATAAAAGTGATTCTAATCCAGCTTTTGGTCAGCAAATGGGGATGGTGGGAACTTGGGGATATCGACCGCACACCTAAAGCATAAGCTTTCAAATGCCAAATTTGAATGCAAAGGCAGATGGGGACTCCTACACTCCAAGGCAAAGTGAATGAGAGCTACCCTTTTGACAAGGAAAGGCAAGGACGAGACTCCGTCAATAATCAATGTGCAAATATATATGATATATCTCTTACCTTGAAAAAGAAATGACTAAACTACTAGAATATTTCCATAATCAAATTATAATGACAATTCATGATAAAATATCCATTAGTTTAAGATTTTCCCCACCTAAAGTCTCGCTTCTGGTAGTTAAGAATTCCCTCCATCTTTCTCAGTCAAAAACCATTGGGCTAAAACGATCATAGTTCAAAGTTTTTGAAGATGCAGAAAAGACAGTAGCAAGAAGGTTTTGCATGTGCTTTCTACCACTTTAAACTAAAGGGGGAATCATGACTTGGCTTTATATTCTCAAACTTACTACAATATTCACAGCTCTCTAGATTTCTTACTAAATTGCTTAATCTGCTAAAACTTAGCACATTATTAGGTCTAATAAACTACAATTATCGTGGATCATCAAAAAGGGTATTGTCTACTTCATATTGGTTATTGAAACAAGTAATTATATAGGAGTAATGTGCTACTATTTGAGAGATTCCCTGAAAATTGAATGATGACTATTTTCAGGGTGCATTCTCCAATAATTTGAGGAGGGGAAGGCTGTGTAGGAGGAATTAGGAAATGAAGGAAAACTAGAAAGAAAGTACAGGGATTTAAGAGAAGATTAAAAGGTGTTTAGATATGTTTCATAAAAAAAAAGTTGTTTAGATACAGAATTAGATCCACCAAAACACACTAAAAAAGGGGCAAAAAGGTGAAAGGTGGAGAATGTTGAAATTGGGGGACAATATCTTTTGATTTTGTTTGTTATGTCTTTGTTGATCTTTTGTTCTTTGCTTTTGGTAGTTAGCAGTGTAGACAGTATAGTAGCATTTCAACCCAAAAAGAAAAAGGGGTTTAAAAAAAATAAAGAAAAAAGGAAAAGAAAAGAAAAGAAGACAATGATAAGATATTGTTTAGTGATCATGAAAAAGAGGGAGAAAATTGGTGCCAGGCTGCCAGTGAACATCTTTTCTTCTTTTATGGACAACTGCCATTCACTGTATCTTTAAAACTCCTTAAAACTCAACTTATCCTTTTGACCTATTTGAGCATTAATGAGTTAATTTCTAAAACCTTAAACAAACCGGGCTTTATTCACTGCTGAAGCTGCTCCATTTTCATGTTAGGTAAACTGATCATCCCCTTCAATCAAAGCATAGACACTGACTCATCACTCTCCTCTTCGTTTGCCTGTCTAAAGATTATGGTCATTTCCAGGCCATGCATATCAGTGGTAGTGGGGCTATCCTGCACAAGCATTTTTTTTTTCAATTTTCATATTATATTATATATATGTGACATGTGATGTTGTTTTGGTCATGTGAGCTTCCCTAGCTAATAAATAAAAAGACCCAAGTCTTCAAAATTAGTTGGAAATGTACTAAAAGAAAATTTCAAGTATCAAGATTGTCAAAGTTTGGATGAAAGTTGGATGGATAAGGCATTTTCAAGTCTGGAAACCAAAAAACGTTACTTAAAAGAAACAATTTGTTGTTGGACTTATTGGATTTCTGACGTCGATGGCTTCAACAACGCTGGAAGAAACTGCAAATCTGCAAACACATGCAGCCAGCATCCACTGTTCTTATCAGTCTCTCAAAAGGGCTTGTCAATTCTAGACTTGGCACTATATTTTTTGCAATTAATTTTTGCCTTTTTTTTTTCGTTTATTTCATTGCTAGTCAATAATTCACTATATATGTCAATTTGTAACAGAACAAACACTTAAAAGTGGACGGCTCATTATTTCGTTATTTGCAGAAATCAATGTAAATAAAGGTCACAATGATTTGAACCAGTATAAATAGTGACCTTTAGAGTGTTAAAAAGTTAATAGACGATCTAAATCTTTCGACCTTTTTATGCAAAATGTGCATTATTTTTCAGGGTATGGTTGAAATTGGTGGACCTCAAAACCTTGACCAAAAATTATTGAATGCACCAAGCCAAAGTCCTTGGATTCAAACGCTAATGTAGACAAGATGAAGAACGGACACATTAACTAACTGGCCCCAAAACTTAATGTTAAGTCATTATCATGCTGCAGCTGCTTTAGACAGCATTCAAAAATAATCAAAGAATTTGTATCAGTAATGGGGCAAAAATGTTTGAATATCAAGGCAAAATTTATATATAAATGTATATTTATAACCTATATTAAAAACCCAAGAAAAGAGAACAAAATTATAAGGGACCCTTTGCTGAGTAATGGTAGAGTATATATTGATGGAGAAGGCCCACTCTAGTTGGATTTGAGTTGATTTTCTGGTTTATGAACCAGCCCTGGGGAAACACATTCCATTCCATGCGTAAGTGGTATAGTTTTGGAGGATGCTTGACAATTCTATCATGAGCAAGAGACTTGGATTTTATTTTTTGAGGGAGAGGGGCAAGGTAGCCTGAAGAATGGTGAAAGAAAGTTGATAATGGCAATGGGGCACCACAAGAAGAGTATCCGATGGGCTGGTGGTCTCGGCTGTGGCTGTGGCTGTGGGCTGTCTGATTTTTTGTGTCACCATCTCAGGTAATGCCAAACTTATTATTCATCAATCTCTGACGGGTAAAAGACAGCACTGCGTTTAGGCCATAAACCAACTATCTGTGCTGCATTTGGCCAGAAAGAGAAAAACTATCTCTGCAGTCTGCTGGATGCAGGGGACAAATATTATATGGTGAGACCATCTATATTATTTCTGGCCAATCCAGTAGGCCTTGCCCGTACACGTGTCCATTGGCAACATCTTTCCCATCATTCATTCTCCAAAATTCATGGACCTTTTTTTCTCCTTTTTTCTTTTTATGATATGAGAGGTTGGTTGGGGTAAGGAACTAAATGGTAAAAGAAAATATATATCAGAATTAGAAGACCTTTTTTTTTTTACCTTTACTAGTGCTAGAAAAATGCATGCGCATTGAATCAATCAGCGTATGAAGCAACGAGGAAAACATCAAAAGAAAAGCCAATGGGAGACAACTAGTGTTAGACTTCGATTTTACGGTAATGGGGTACAGTGGTCCTGAGGTGGGGTTAGCGTGATAGGCTTCTATTACCTGCAAATTTCGTTCCCATTTTCTTCCCAATGGGCAGTGGGCTCTAATGAGATTACCTTTCTGCTCATTCAAGCTCTATGTAAATGATTTGTACGCATAAGCTCCCCTTTATACGGGCAGAAAGAAAGGGACATTGATAGATTTTAAGGTCACCAGGCCTTAGCCATAAGGGGGACAGTGCCCCAAAATCATTTAATATTGGCGGCAAAACCAACCAATCACTACTCACTAGGGATACGCCAAGGTATAATCTCTGGGTCTATTTTGGCAAACCTACACTGTCCAACTATATCTTTTATTTACTGAGAGAAGTTTGGAATTGTTGTTGGAGTTCAGTGCGATGATAGGAAATGAACTTGATTGTATTTTGGTCGTATTTGAACCAGATGATAACAAGAAGTTCTAAGAATCCATCCAACTGATAGCATTATAACTTGGTTTAACTGCTGCCCCATTCATGTATCTCAGAATGTGGTACCTGTTTCAGGTTGCTTATTTTCGTTTGTTAGAGAATCATATGCATGTCCTTTCGAATTGTAATTGATTGAGTAATCAATCTTGTTACTGTAATGGGCTACAGTGGTCTATGACAACAGGGTTAAGGTTCTTTCTTTTTTTTCTTTGCACAAGCATAGAACATTAACAACCAAATTATTACTATAAATTATTTATTTTATATGCCGGCTTTATTTTTGTTTAAGATGCCAAACTCTGTAAAACTCTTCGGACCAATTGTGTGGGCTGGAAACCAGGTCCACGGGGTTTATGTCTATACACGGAGTGTGATAGTTGGGCCGAAACCAACCCTTTCTTTTCCATGTTAGGTTGAGACGTATGTGCCAATAACATAACTTTCCAGCTCAAGACTGGGAAAAAAATTGAACTTTCCAGCCCATCCCAAAATCAAGTCGGTGTTTGGTTTATTTTTTAATGGGATAAATCAAGTTGCATCTTTAGCTCCAAGCCATAGTTAATCTAACAAAAAAATTCGAAGTTTTAAGCGGATACGAAAAAAATACGAAAATGATATAATGGAGAGGGACAAAAGCTTAAATCAGATTGTGATGCCAAATTCAACGAAGTTGGTGGTCAGGTTATGAGAAAGGTAGTGCCAGACTCAACTTTAGTAATAGTAGTACATATATAGGTGCGATTAACCTGCTTTACTTTGGATGCAACCGCTGTCCCCAAGGCTGCTTGGACAATGTTGAAACCTCTCATTTCTCACCCATTTTTAAAAGTCCAAAATAACACGACATCTTGGGTCCTTTTCGATCGGATTTCA